CGTCGATAAACATTCCACATTCAACTTAATTTTCACTCAGGAGTCAAAGTAATTAGTATATTCATAAGTAAATTAAAAATGAATTTGTTAATTTTGACCTTAATAATGTTGGCCCCTAGGTTTTGTTAATTTTTTGAGGACAGGAAAATTCTTTTCTAATATGGGGACATAGATCGTTTTGAACCAAAATAGAAAATTATATTTTAATAATACTAATAATTAAGACACAACCGAAAGTTTATTTTTCAATTCAGAATAATAAATATTTAACTTATTTATTTTTAAAAAATTAACTGCTAATCGTTTTGATAATGAGAATTAATTTGCGCATAATATTGCGGATCCATATCGAAAATATGATATGAAGTTGTAAAAGTTCATTAGTATATACTACATTACAACTTAAACTTGAAGTGTAACTAAATAAACTATGTATGTAACACTTTATATTTTTTTATAAGAAAAAGATAATCTTCACAACCGACTACAGGCAGTACTCGTAGAAAGAGAATATCATTCACTACTTATAAAAATACATTTTATTTTGTTGTATACCGTGCTATATATAATTTGTATTCTGTTCGTAATTAATTAATACACCCAAATTCATTAATTGGATAAATACTTTATTTTTGAAGAAGGGTAACCAATCATACATACAGAACTAAAAAGGTTTAGTGCTGCCATCTAGTTAAGCTTAACCACACATACTGATCATACCATTAGGGACTAGCTTTCCGCCCGCAGCTTCGCCCGCGTGGAGTTCGGTTATATCGCGTTTCCAAGAGAACCTTTCAAAAGTCTGTGTTAAAAACTATCCTATGTTCTTTCTCAAGGTCAACTCTATCTGTGTACCAAATTTCATTAAAATCAGCTCAGTGGTTTAGGCGTGACAGCGTAACAGACAGACAGACAGACAGAGTTACTTTCGCATTTATAATATTAGTAGGGATAATTTGAGTGTTCTTCAAACGTTTTTATTGTTTATGATAATATTTAAAACATGATAAAATATTAAAACAACGTTCATTCTTACCTTCGTTTTTCGTTTGATTTCCCAATTAGTAAAATTTAATACTATTACAGAGTTTACCTACCATTTATGATACTTATTTATGGTCTGTTTAGCATTTCCAGTCAAAAATTGACTTGGCAAAATTCTTCTAAGTGACTGTTCAAAAGGTTAGTTCAATGAGAAATATACTTGTTGCTTCTTTCGTGTGTTGTATCTTTTAAATTTAATCTCCGAAGTCAGAAGTTTGTTGGAAGTAAGTGAAAAAATATTTTAGAATTAAATGCACAGCCAAATTCAAATACAACGAAAATTTCTGTGTTAAAAAAGCAACTAAATATTATAATATCATATTGTTGGTCACGTGAGTGCTATCTATATTGTTAAATTTTCAACTATCATACAGGTAACACAAGTTACAAAGAGAATCTATAATCGTATACACTGGGTGCGTAAGGCACAATGGGGGACACAAAAGTGATGTCAGCGCCCTCTGCGGACAATACAGAACTACAGGTGGCTCTTTACTATGTATGACCATAACAATAATATGTGTTTCAGTTTTATTAAATAAATGAAATAAAATGGGTCATCAAAGTTGTTGTTTAGTGAATTGCAAAAATACTAGTAGGAATAGTAATTGTAGATTTTATAAGTTTCCGCTTGCCAAATGGAAATTAAATCAGCGAATAAAATGGATAACTGCTGTTAAAAGGCAAAAGTAAGTATTACTATAACCTACAACCGTATTGTATAGAATAATGTCATGTACATGTATATGTCGTTTAAGAAACGGAGTAATAATTTAATATTTTTTTGTAAAGTATTGATGGATCGTCATGGTCTCCAAAACCAGATATTGAATCAAGTCCTAATTAAACTCCAACTATTTTTCCATCAGTTTATAGAAGACGTAAAGTCAACGAATCCGCAATTTAAGTAGGTACGTAAAAATAAGTTTTGATTAAAATGTTTAGATCAATAGAAATGACCGACAAAAAAACTTAGACATATTATTTGTTATAGTTATCTAATAATTTAGCAATACCTGTTTTATTTAATTTTATATTTATTTATAGTATCGCAATTTATTTATTTAGACACAAACGCTTCAACAAAAGTCAACGGCTGAGATAGAAATTACTGATCAACCTAATACTGGAATCAAACGGTGGATCAAGCCCGTGAAACAAATATGTATTTAACCTCCAATGTATCATCAAATCATTTATTTGTATTTATAATTTATTTATTTTATATATTATTTTAGATTGTTTTTTAATATTAATAATGATTTTTTATTCTTTATTAATTTTACAATAAACATCTTGGCAGACAAGACCTAATTCACTTATTGCGACTTGTTTTAGTAGTTGTGTCTATTTCACTTACTGTTTTTAGCTGACACCACGGTTTTTTTTTAAATTTAATATTCACTTTCTATAATATTTCACATTGAAAAAGATTTTTTTTTCAAGTTGCATTCATTCATTTCATCTTCGATGCAGTCGCACCATCTCTTTCTCAGCCTTCCTCTAGGTCTCTTTTGCTGCGGCTTCCAGTCGGTCACAATCTTGGGTGCCCTGTTTTTGCCCATCCTCTCTACGTGCCCAGCCCATCTCAGACGCTGTGGCTTGATGAATCGGACGATTGTTTCTCGGTTCATGAGTGCCTCCAGCTCGTGATTCATGCGTATACGGTAGTCACCGTCTGCGTCTTTCACTGGCCCAAACACTTTGCGAACTTTCCTCTCAAACACGGCGAGCTTTTGGGCTTCCAAAGCCGTTAGTGACCATGCTTCACACCCATAGGTGGTGACGGGGCGTATTATTAGTATTTTTCGAATGTACTACAATATCTTTCGGATGTAGCAACCGTGATTACGGGCAGACGACATCTCGTCTGCTCGTGGTCGCGTTTGCTGTAAGGTAATCGAAACGTCGCGTTGGGACTATGTAGTTTATAATCAAAAATAAAAATCGTATAGTACAACCGAAAAATATTAGTTTCACTTAAATGAATAGTCGCGAAAATCTTAGATCTCATTATTGATTTATTGTTTTTTTACCAAGTACACGGTTCATTTTTACATAAGGATATTAAAAGAAGGTATTTATTTTCACTTTTTACGCGCTAGAAGTTTATGTGAATTAAAATCAATGATTTTATAATTTTTGTCATATAGATATTGGAAAGTTAAAAAAATTATGATTATTAAAATACATATACGTATTATTTTGATTACATCGCCTACAATTTTTTCGATCATCTATTGCATGTTGCATTACAATCAAATCGTTTCACTCTAGTGTCATTAATATATTGACTCATTAGTGATATTTGTCTGTTTAGATAGTGACATAAATATACATATTGTGCTCAGTTTATAACATTTTCTGATTCATTGTACTTATTATGGATTCCATACTTTAAGACGCAGTTTGAAATATATGAACATCGTGTTACTTTTGACATCCAAGTTATTATTGCCACAATCAGATTATTAATGAAAAACACGATTTTAAACCTCTAATTTCTAATTATTATTTCAAAATTTTCAGTTAAATGCTTATGAAAGAACCCTTTTAGTATGACTTTTTATATTAGAAGAATATTATTTTAGACTTATTACTTGTTTTGAAAATTGTATTTGAGTTTTGACTAAGCATAAGTTTGGTTATCCTTTTTACTTTAGAATAATTATCATTTTTACAAAAGGGTCAAGAATGGGTATCCCTAATGGAATAAAAGTATTTTTCTATTAGAGACATAATGCAAGTAGAAAGTTTACTATGTTTTAGATATGGTTAACTTATAATGTTAATTCATATTTTCTTTAATTTTTAATTAATTCTTTCTATCGTTTTGTTAAAATTGCGATCTGTCGATAGGTGTATGAAAAAAAATTGGATTAAATTACAATCATTAACAATACATCTTTCGTCCCCAAAATTCAAGTAAAAAAGGTTACATAAACACGTTTAATAGTAAGAAAAGTTTGCATAACTTCCTATTAGTAAAATGTTTCATAGCATTTATGTTGAATGCTATTGACGGCCTTCACCTTGTGTGCATGTACAACCTTAATTACAGCTTAAAAAAAACGATTCGTTGAAATAAACTTAATAAAATTGGAATAATAACTGGCATGTACTTTCATTTGTTTGACCTTACGATTGGATTGGATTGTTGGATTGTATAATACTCCATTACTCTAAATAATAGGGATAATAGGGAAAATATTTATGTTAATTTATATGGCTATTAATTTCACCTCAATACGCACCCTTACAAATGCCTCCCATCAATTAATAGCACTTAAGAACTCTTAATATAATAATGTGGAAAACTTATTACCATTAGCTTCTAACGTCAGGAAACCGCACCTTAACCATAATGTACCTATTATATGCCATGTTAGATGTACAATCAACGATATATTAAGCGCATAAATAAAGCTCGTTACAGATATTTTATTATTACCAACTTAAAAGTAATCGTTTTAAAATAGCTCCTAGACTCTAATTTTATGGATAAGAGCGTTTTCCTTTAAATAATGTCTCCTTATCTGTACTATATAAGCTATTCTAAAAATTGCTACATGTTTAGGGAGCCTTAGTTCATTGTAATTTATGAAGAGTTAAGAATTACCGCGCCTGCGGTGAAGTTTACAGACAGTGTTAGCGAAAAATAGGATGGCAGTCCAGCGTTAAACCTCAGTGGGGAAGCGTGAATTACCTGAGCGTGACGTCCCTTGGCTGAATACAAGCTCGCGTTCTTATCTCTTATCAGCTTATAAAAATGATACATCAAATTACTTCACGAGTACTGCGATAAAGAGCACCTTGTCCGCGATAAACAAGCCGTTACGGATAGATTTAATAAATTAGTCATTATAAATCTGTTTCGACTAAATGATGACAATTCTATCAATTTGCAACTAGTTTCGTTTAGTGAAAGAAGTTGGTAGATTTTATGGGTAGTCGAAATGGAAATGTTTGTGCTACTGTTTATGATATTATCATATGTGCATGCAAACCCATGTACCAAGGAACAAAGTGTGAACATAACAGAGGGTGTTCTTTATGAGAATAAGTCGATCATTCATGATGGAATCGAGTATGTCAGTGGTTCTTGGTACGAGGAGAATAATGATGGTGCTATGAATCTTTTCGGTTGTCCGTGTATTGGTCGTATCTGCTTATGGAAGTGCTGTGACAAAGGCCAGATGTACGTTAACAGAAGCTGCACTGATGTTGATAGAGATGTGGTCCATCCATTTAATCCTCCACTATTTAAAGGAAGAGACCCATCAAACTTAACAGCCGTTAAGAATTTCTTCTTTATGTATCTCCCGTCTTGTCCAAAGTATCTGGTAGATTCTAACAACGCTGGCGAAGAGATTTTCCTCCAAGAAGTAAGTATGTTCACAAATTTAGTCATGACTTCAGTTATTGTTAAACAAATTTCGATCCTTACAATGAGTAAGTTTCCTTATAAAGCAATGATTCAGAAAAATATAGTAGAACTGTTGCTATTGTGTATAAATATAATAAATAGTTCATTAAAACTGTTAATTAAAAATCGGTAAACATACAATTCTCACACACATAGGATCGTATCTTATCTTGAATCAGTACCTAAATAAATATCTTCAAGAGAATTGTATACGAGATAAAACTTGTATTATTGACGAGGTTTTTTAAAATGCTTTATAAAATAGCAATATATAGGTCAACAGGTTATATTTTGAAATTGAATTCTTTCATATTTTAAGACACTATACTAAAAATCGGTTAGTTATAGATTTCGAGGTTAAGACAAATTTCAAAGTATGAATATTTTTAAAGCTAAGTACCTGAAACATTTGTATAAATTATAATTAATATATTAGGCTATTTTTTGATAAAATGTTAAGAATTTGATGCAAGCCTCAAACAATTACTACCAAAAAAGTCTTTAAATTACTTTTGTCCTACGTCATAAGAAATAAAAATATTTCATCTTTTGCGTCAAAAGTTAAAGTTTTCTCCAAGTTATATAATACAGTAAATCCGTATTTCTGAACTAAATATAACTACTTATGCAATACAAAAATTCAAAGGCAAACTTATACCAAACATTTTGTGTTCGGCAGTAAATACTAATAAAGCCATTCACTAATGGAAGCGCGGTTATTTGCCATCACCTTGATGATAATAAATAAATATAGCCACCATAAAACTAATTGATGCAATACATTATTTTGAAAGCAACGTCTCAATTAGGACGCCAAATATTATCTTATGTTCTTCCAAGAAAAATATAGGTGTGACTATTTGTTGCGGGAAAACTCTAAGCGTCCGGTATTTTCATTTTAAATTCGTTTTGAATTATATATTTTGACCGTGACACATTTGATTTTATTTCTGCTGTTTGTTGTTTTAGGGACCCTGTATCGTAACTTGTTTTGTATACTTATATTCACAAATACTTCCTTATTTTACGAATTCATTTATTTTGTTAAAACGTATATTTAAATAAGACGTAATTTTGTAGTGTTATTAATAAATATTAATGTCTTATAGCAGATAACTGATTAAAAATGATTAATTCAAAAAGTAGCTTAAATTGGTTGTCCATTTATTCAGTAAAGTTTGATTAATGGGAATTTTAGCGCGCAAGTTTAGAATGTTGCAAAGAAATATATATTTTTATACTTTTTTTAAGTTAGTATCGTTTTAGTGTGGTAACCAAATTCTAATATGCACTAATATTTGTGATATCTGTAAAAATATAAAATTAAAAAAATATATACCTAAATACTTAGTAAACATAAATAGTTTAACAATCATTAGTTTAAGAGTTAATGCTTATAAATTTTGGAATATTGTTAAAATAAATTTCAGCCTAATATTGTTTAAATATAAAAAATATTTTGCAATTTATTTAGTTTATTCATTTAAATGAGTACAAGTATATAAATTACAGGTATTAAAATATGCATATTAACATAATTTAGCTTGTCTTTGATCTGTTGTTTATTTTCTTTTAACTTAATTGAACTTATGCGTTTGGTAGGTAATTGATGTAATGCCAGAATGTCATACATTCATTTGGTTGATCGAATGCCATTCATTACAAAGCCATTCAACCAAGGTAGCCATTACAAAGTCTGATTTACTTAGCCGTCGGCAACGTGTAAAAGCAATAGTATTAAGTTTTATTCTTAGGTCAAGTACTTACCTTTAGAATAACATCGAAACATTTTAATTCATTATTTTACGTATATTAAGTTCGTGTTTCAGTCTTATTTTATACATGAAAAGGTTTAAAAGATTTCTTTAAGACCTATTTCTGGGATTACTAGATATTTCAAAATTTAATATTGTCTGATAAGTAATTCTTATGAGAACAAATCACAAACATTCTCTACCGAGAGTTAATATGGAACATATTACATAGTTACTTTTTACATAGTTTATTTTTAGTCATGTTTAACTGTTACTTTTTTTACTAAAACTAATTAGAACATAAATGTTTATATCTCAAACATCCATAATGTGGTTGCTATTTGAATTGACGGGTAAAAAATAAAAAATACGTCACTCAGTCATTGCTACATATTGTAAGTCATTTTTGATTAATTTATTAAGTATATTTGCACACAAGATCGCGCTGCACTAGGATAATCCTTTCCAAGACGGAAGCATATAAACATACAATGAGATAAAAATCTTCTAATTATATGTAAAGTTGAAAAATTAGCCTTGAATCGGCTATTCATAAGGTTCAAATTATTTCTGGCATTCTAGTAGTTACAATTAGTCACCTATAAAATTCTTTGTTTAAGGATTTCGAAAACTTTTTAGTTTAAAACAGACGATCTTTTCATTTGAATTAAGATTAAAAAAAACGAGAAATTCCTAGAACAGTGTTTAATGTATTTGTAGCTGTGACATTTTTATGAGAATTTTGCTCAGTCGACTACTCTTTAAGTGAATATACATAGGTTATACTTCTACAGATATATGTAGAACCAGCCATAAACTCATTTGAGTACGACATTTTACCCGAACTAGTATGTAAACTGTTTGGAATAAGAACTCTTTGCAAAAATATTAAACGGTATTTGTCCATAAACATGTACTTTCTTATCACTTTTTAGAAATAATTTTAATTATAAAATAATATTGAAAATATGAAGATTATAATTATTCACAACATGTAAGGCAGACCCTGGCTAAAAGCTGGGAAATTGCCAGGTAGAAGTAGTAGTAGAAGTATTGAAAATATGAAGATGTTTGATTTACAAAATTTTGTAGATGTAAACGATCAACATTCATCCCCAATTTTCGTAAATTAAACGACTATTTAAACACTTCACAGCAATATGTAATATCAATATTTTTTGTTTAATTTTTTCAAAAACTATTAACTCAAATAAATCTTAATATAAGTGATTCTCTATTTTAATAACTACAATTAAAGGTATTGATTTTTTTGTAACTTTTGAATGTTTTCTTCTCAAAGAAATAATATTTTTTTTTAACTCATCGCCTCGTTACAACTGTGAAAACTGTTTTCAACTTACATACATCAGAACATCAATGTTATTCGCATGCCTGAAACAGTGTCAAATTGTATTTTTATCCTTCCAATGAAGTCTATAATAACATTTCCTTTGATAATAATCATAGGTTGTGACAATGAGATCATCTCGTCTGCCTGTAATCACGGTTGCTACAAAGTAACCGAAACGTAGAGTATGTAGTAATAAAAAACGCAAAGTAAATTAGAAAATATTACTTGTATTTATAGACAGTGATTTCACCAAAATTATTTAATTACCGAAAATCTACTAAACGTAAATAATCTTATGGTTGCATATAAAATCATGTTTTATTATTTAAAATTCATTGCTCTAAAAGAATTCTTTTGTTTTCAAAAACAAAACATTTGTTATTAGATACAATGCATGTTTAATAGTTATAAATTGTGGAATTCTAACGAAATTACAAATACCTAATGCTTATTATGTTTTATTTATTGTTACAACCAGCTCGGCTGTGTGGTTGAGTATAACCATATGCTTGGAAATCATGTATTTGTATTAAATTAAGAGCACTTATGAATATGTACATTATTGTTATTCATATAATTAAATTGAATTAATTATTTCTCTCGTTTAGTCTTTATACATAAATTAAGATAACTTAAGTGTAATTCCATTTGTTTAACATAAACTATGTCACTATTGATAAGATTATTATTTGTTATTTGTCCTTCATAAATAGTCTTTTTTACTATGGCGTTTTTAAAAGTCTATGGTTTAAACTTTAAAGTACGAAATGTAAGCACAATGATAGCATACCCTTGCCGCTATAACTCTTTGAGGATTTAATAAAAACATATAGATATGCCGCAAGAGAAAAACAATAAAATTTATAAATGTAATTCATCTGAGTTAATAATTTAGTTGAAGTTAACAAATAATTAAAGTACTTTTAACATATACAGGGTGACTGGTGAATTACTATCGATACTTGAGGACGTGATATTTGACGATCATATATGACAAAATAAAAATTAATATAACATAAATATGAATAAACTTCTAAGTAAAGTTAACCAAAAGTTATGTAATTAATTACGCATCGTGTGAACACCCTACAGATTAGGTATACACACACACTCACACATACGCGTGTGGCGGCGTAGTGTTGTATCAGCACGCCGCCGCACGCGTCCACACTTGGAACACTTGGAACGTGTCAACACTTTATTTATTTATACGGAAATTTTGTCAAAAATTAAGCACCTATTTTTTTTACATTATTCGAATGAGAATCATGGACCGAGTATTCTCCTAAAATATTGATAGTAATTCACCAGTCACCCTGTATAAATTGTAAGAATACTTATTTATTTTTTGTTAACATTCAAAGTTATCAAAGTTTTGTTCCATATTTTCCACCTTCTGGATAATTTTACGCCCTTTTATCATTGGACAAAGAGACAACTAGAAGTCGTCATAAGTTGTAAATATTTCTTGCTTCCCCTTACTCATGAGTACAGAAAATGTATTTAACTGTTTGCCTGCATCTATATTTCCTTCAAACTAATATAATTTGATTATTAAACTTAATTGAATAGGCTATTATTGAGATATTGCTTTTAACACTTACGGCTTCATTTCTATCAGTCAACAGGAGGAATCAAAATCAAGAATTATACGGAAGATAATTAAAACATTCAAAAAGCACATTACTTTAGTGGTAAGGGTCCTAAGGCATTGTAATTACGATGACCTCAGTTTAAAATAAGTATACAGAGTTCTAAAATCACCATACTTATCTATGCTAAAGTCTGGTATAAAAGTACTTTTAGGACCTTAAGTGTTCATGGTTGGCTGTAGTCAGTTACCTATTATCAAAATGACTGACTTCAATTCTATACATCTGTTTTGTATACTAGGGCAAAGTGTTGCGGATCTAAAATGACCTACCAAATAGATTTTCCGTTTTAGCCTGAGTAAGTCATTTCTATTTAAAACAAATTGAGTCTCTTACTAATACACAGCTGCCGATACGTTGCGAGAATAAAACGCTTTTGTTCTAAATTTATTTATGGATATAAATATTGTTTTAATATAATTTTATGATGTCGTAACTTTGTTTCTATTGCTTGTTATACGATATAACATATAGTTTTCAATACGTTATTATTTTATACAATTATTTGTAATAATATTAACATCAAATATAATATACGTTACATACATAAAGATATATATAATTTAAGTAAATAAATGTTATGTAATATATATAATTTAATAAGCACATAGAATCAATGTTAAATTTTATGTGTATAGTGGATTAGTCTCATCAATACTAAAATTATGACAAAAAATATGATGATTATGGATTCATTTTAATGAAATTTTGGATACTTCGTTAGAATTGAATTGATTCAGAACATTTTTACATACGAGTGGAGTTCTGGAGCGTGATAATTGTAAAGGAAATTGGTTGGTTTTAATCAGGTTTTGTCTTTTTCAGAATGGGACTTTATTCGAGATAGCCTTCAAACTTCCTCAATGGCATGTTCCTTCTCGTTTCTGTCTTGATATGTTCGAAGATTCTGCTCCAGTGAGACTAATGGCCGGCGTCTGTTACCCAGATGAAGATGATAGTAGTGACAGCCGGCTTTTGTTCATCGCGTATGGTGTTGGTAAGACCACAATATTTTATGTTTACATAATTATCTGGTTATGACGTTGTAATTATATAGTATAGTTTTAAACGGTGGCAACACTCTAATAATTTTATCGGTTTTAATTCATAAGAAAATGGATTTTCGGTATCGATTTTCTTTATTAACAAGAAAATAAATTCAAAAAACAAAATTTTTATCGTTATTTCCATAATCGTAAGTATGTATAAAATCTCTTTTATATTGTGCGGTGGAGTAACAAACATCAATAAATCCCAATTCTTGTATTCATTCCCAGTTACTTACCTATTATAAACATTCGTAGGGCCGAAGATTATTTTTAACAGAAATAAATAAGAAGGTATAATTAGATTCCACACGTTAAGGAGTCGTACTTTGTTCATAGTTTTTTCACTTATGAAACCATTTTAAATAGTTTTATTGATAAATCAACTAATTATAATTTTATTACACTGCATATACGACGTTGTCGATTTGGTAATTAAGTGGTAGCCTAGTGGTTAAAAAAAAAGGCCCGCCTCTCATGCACGAGGGCGCGGGTTTGATCCTGGCCCTGGCAAGTACCAATGTGATTTTTCCTAGTCATATGTACTTTCTAAGAGTATTTAGACATCACTGATTAATGCATTCCCAAAGAGGGTTGATGTCAGGAAGGCGGCCGGTAGTAAAAACAATTAGCCAAAACTATTCAGAACATGTAAGGCAGACCCTGACTAAAGCTGGGAAATTGCCAGATGGAAGAAGATACGACGTTGTCGATTTCTTTGGAAAAGGTCGGATTTGGTATATTAAAATACGGTTTTTGTTAAATTAACCTTCCTCTAATACTGATAATATTTTTTATATCAAAGTGTAGAAATAATTTGTTTACGTACTCCTTGTCATATTCGGGGATTAATAGTCATTTAACGCAATTTCTGAGCACACATTTACTGTTTTCATTTTATTGGCACTCATTAGACAATAAAATCTATTGCATTATTAATAAACCAGTTCCCATTAAATATTAACGGGCACTAAAATTTAACAGAAACAATTTATTTTGAGTGAACTAAAAAAAGTGTAGATATTAATAAAGATTTTGGGGATTTAAAGCAAATTTATACTATTTAAAATGCCATTTGAATTATAATTTGTTTAATAAAGTTTAAATACCTAGTTAGTTAACCGTATAACTTACTTTTAGAATAAAACATTGGTGACAAAAAAAGCTTCTTAGGTGGCAAAAAAAAATCTGTGTAGAAAAGTAATAATGACTTTCAAAAGGGCAACACTGACAATGTTGTAATATTGATTCCGTTAAAGACTTAGTATTTTCAAATCCTACCCACTCGGGCACTCGATCTTCTTGTTTAAATAGAATTTGGGACTATAATAAAAAAATAACCATACTAGAAATTTTAAAATATTGTTTTATTATTATGAATAATACCGAAATACAAATAGTTTCTTTTTTTCGAAGTCAAAGATAACCATAAGTTTAATTTAGTGCAAATGTTTAACGATTTTAAGAAATTTAATATAAGGAAGAAATCATAAAAAATATTGTTAGGAGAGCGATTCTTTATGATGTATGCGAAAATATATTGCTGAATAAACACCAATGCTTAATTTTTTTATGGTACATAACTCTTCTTAAACCACATGTTTCGCATCTCATGTTTTCCTTTAACTTTTACTCTTTGGTATTTTTTATAATAATGTTATAAAACAGGTATTATATAAAATAGATTGATTAAAAATGAAAACATTCTTATCTATATGTATAAAAGAAAGTCGTTTTAGTTACACTATTTATAACTCAAGAACGGCTGTACTGATTTGTCTGGAAAATTTGTGAGGAAGTAGGTTGGAATCAGGATAGACATAGGATACTTTTGAATTCGTTCGACAAAAAAAAATTTGTTAATAAAATCCAAAATCTGTATATTTACTGCCTTTAAATCGAAACAGTTCGCCTGGTCATCTATCCATTCTAATTCTGAAATTAACGTGGATGAAGTCGAGGGCAAAACCTAGAAATGTAATATATATTAATATATTCCAAATAGCCTTATTTATTTTTGGTCCCTTGATTAAAAATAACACCCAAACACTTATACACGTATAGATTGATTGAGCAAGTACAATTATTAGTTACTATATTTAATCTTCTTCTTCTTCCTGGCAACCTCCCAGTTTTAGCCAGGGTCTGCCTGTCTGTCAGTTACTATATTTAATAATGTCTTAAAAGTAATAATCTCAAAGAACTCGTGTTGTTTCATACTTAAGATGTTTCACACATGCTCGATGATTCTCAACCATTCCATTTTGGGCTACACCTGTGTCAATATTTATGGGGCTTGTGAAACACATCGCTGTTATTGTTACATGTCATGTGTAACTAATGTAAATTTATTTATATTATAGTTAGCTTAAGAAATAATTCTTAAATATAGAAACAGATTGTTTTTATAAGTAGGAGTATTGTTGTTTATAATATTACATTAATAACAAAGAACCTAAGACATATTTAGTTCAGTAGTTTTGCTGTAGGATAGCTATGTAATTTGGGAATTGAGGATATTGCTATTTTTAAATCTGGATATCAGCTATTAGGACAATAAATGGAGGGAATCAGTTTAATAAAATTGTAATGTACCATAGTAGAATACTCAAAAAAACTGAAATAGCCGATAGTATATATATTGAATTAGATGATGCTGAAATAGCGAATTCAAAAGTTATAACGCCGACACCAAAGATAATGATCCTATTAGTTTTCATCTCCAAAATAACAAATTATTTAGTTGAGAAAACAATTATTTAGTGGTAAGGTTAACAATTATTTCGTCGAGAATTCTAATATAGGTAAACAGGTATCAGGTAAAATGGAACATGTCTCAATGTGTCTGATGTACCTCGTAGCTGGTATATGGATTACAAACGATTTATTCCCCTCATATACCTGCAACTTGAACATTCATTTGTCAAAGTCGGGTCGGTTTGAGAAACACTAGTGAGTAGGTTTTGTGGATGAAAATAAACGAAATTAATTTACGATAAAATGAGAAGTGATGATGAGTTTTAATAATTTACATTTAATAATTTTTACATTTATTAAAGTAAAATCCACGAAACTTAATAGATGTGTTATGAACTTTATTAGTAAGAAAAATATTTTAATGAACGAAAACAAAATGTGTATTTTTTTTATTTGATGATGAAAATCGATGGTAAAGCCCAATGGCAGCTAATTACCAAAGCTAAAAGAACAGCTATATACATAATTCTCTTGTTGCTGTTAAAAATATTTGAAATATGTTTTATTTAAATAGCACTGTTAAAAGTAACAAGAAAACTTTCATAAATGGGAAAAGTTCCGAGAATAAAAATTTTATTAATACTTCTGTATGAACATTTTGATTAACGACCTTTCAAGTTATTAATAAATGTTTTTTCATTTTGCTTTGACAGGACATGTGATCACTTTTGAACTTATTCGTACTGGTTTTTTACTTCGAATCCCTACTAATATTATAAATGAGAAAGTAACTCTGTCTGTCTGTCTGTCTGTTACGCTTTCACGCCTAAACCACTGAACTGTTTTTAATGAAATTTGGTACAGAAATAGAGTTGACCTTGAGAAAGAACATAGGAATTGTTATCCCAGATTTTTGAATGGTTCTCTTGGAAACGCCATATAACCGAACTCCTCGCGGGTGAAGCTGAAGGCGGAAAGCTAGTATTCTATAAATAACTTCGTTTCATTTATTTCCATGTATTTTTTTGTCCAGGTTTAATGCTGTCGGTACCATTTCTATTAGCTACATTTCTGGTATACGCCTTCATACCAGACCTAAGAAACCTTCATGGTATGTGCTTGATGGCGTATTGTGGTGGGCTGATCGTAGCCTACCCTTTCCTGGCCTACCTCAAGTTCCACACTGGAAAAATTGGTGTAGAAATGACGGGATGCTATACTATTGGTAAGAAATAAATCATTTGTTTATAAAAGAACACATACCACTAATTAGTGTATTTTTTTTTAATGAAACTAATATTTTTCGGATTATACGCGACTTTTTTTAAAACTACATACTCTCGACAACAAAAATAAAGTCGAGTGGTATAATCCGAAAAATATTAGTTTCATTTAAATGAATAAAACTCTCAAAAATCTTAGATCTCATTAGTGTATTTTTACTGGTTCGTTTTATATAATTTTTCATATGAAACATTCTTGATTTAAGTGATCATAAAAGTGTCGCGTTAGAACTAAGTATGTGTCATTATTATTTATGTTGAATGAGTTTTATTACGTAGGCATGATATATTTTTAATAGATTTCCTCATAGTGCCACAAAATAAAATAACGATAGTATAATATACAATTTCTCAATAATTGTGTCACTCATTCATGCAGACTGCTGTCATACGTAAGTGCGATTTGAATGTATCTATAATAAAATATATATAAATAAGTATAATTTTGGTGTCAATTGATTTAAATAATTAATTTGACTCAGTTTTAATTACATAACACTAATCTAATAAACGAAACAACAAATCAAAGTGTCTGGGAATTATACAATTTTACTTCGTTTTACTTTTATTTTAAGTATGTACTTTAATATAATTAACGACTTGCTATATAAAAAAGCGTTTTTTATTAGGTACTTATTACCTATATTCAAAAACCCATAAACATTTTTGTCATAACAACCAAACGTTTTGTCTTCTTATCATAAACTTATTGCACGTTATCGCTTCGAACTAAAGTATAAATTCAAGCAATCGATATTCTAGGTAAACTATAACTATTAACTAAGATATTCTTTTTAAAAGGAGATTGTTTTAAAGTTACAATAACTATTTATGTGGTGTTTCATTAACCTTAATTTTGTATGCAAATTAGGAGGCGTCATATCTTGACATAACTAACGACTGTATTTGACAAGTAGAGTCTAGAGACAATAAAATATAACAGATTATATTAAATATTTGAAACGTTGTTATTATATTTTAATGTATAGAATAGTAGTGTCTTCGAATTTTTCTTCTCTATATGATAAATCTATATATAAAAGAAAGTTGTATTAGTTACACTATTTATAGCTCAAGAACAGAAATATGGCGGAAAGATATCTCAGTACCAGGTGACGGACATAGGATATTTAATTTTGTTTGATAGAAACAGAAAAAAACTTTATAAATTCCAATACCTGGTTATTTATGGCCTAGAGTTCGTCCGTCAGTTATACATACATATAATACTAATGCCGAAATTAACGCGGACGAAGTCGCGATCAAAAACTAGTAAGAAATAAATATCAGTTGATACCATTTCAACCTTTTTGCATCATGTCTGCAGTAACTGCTATGTATCGTTGTTTGACAATAAAGATTCTTATATAGGTCATAATTCCATATTAAACAAATTAATTTAAAAAATCACACCTATTGTAAATATCGCAAAGGTTAAATTCGAATTCAAATATTTACTGGAAAAACAAAACACGTTCGTTAGTCACGAAACATGACATGAGTATTAAAACATTCATCCTCGTATTATTAAATTTTACATGTAAAAAGACGTACCACACCCATTAATACTTTAAGTAATGGCACACTAAACAGAAATTTGTTTAATGAACTAAACACGGATTTTACGTTTAAATCATATATTATATTATGATTTATGAATAAAAAACGTTGAAATTGTCATGTGTGAGGCAATTATGAATAGTAAAAATACGTACTAAGGATAGTAAAATAATTACTGTAATTTTTTATTGATATAGATATGTATATCTTTTTATGAATATTTTCATTGTAATTTTTTTTGAAACACGCTACATTCATGTATGCCAGTAATTTGAATTAAATATACCTACCTAAGAGTCATTATAACTATAGCTTTATTACAATGTGCAGGTTTTTAAAAATTAAGCAATGATTTTTCAGAACTATATAAGCTGATTACAGATTCTTTTAAACCAAAATATTTCAATTTACATACATAACAAAATCTAAAGAGTACGTTAAACGGCTTAAACCACGTAAAAATGACTATAAATCGTCTGTTTGAAATTTAATAGTCAATACATTTTAAAGGAGACAGCAACCTTCATAATAGATTTATATTTACTTGAAGTTTTTCATTTTTTGGTAACGTTTAGCTTAAAGTATATGACACTACATTGAGTTCAATAAACGAGGATATCTATTTGGCTTTATTATTTTATTTTTACATTTTCCCGACGTTTCGATTACTTTACAGCAACCGTGATCTCGTCTGCCAGTGAGTGAAATAGTAAAATTGCATTGTTATCTTAAAAACATAGTTTAATTTTAGATATGTTCAACATTAGATATCATTAAAAAAAATATGAAAATTTATTGAATAAGTATAACTTGAACATCAATATATTATTTACAAAAATATTTCCTTGAAAGTCGGTTTATTGTATAAATATAATATGTATTTATATATTTGTTTATTTAGTATATATAACTTGTATTTCTGCTTTAATTTGCAAGTATTCACTTTTTTAAAGTTTTCACTGTTCAGTTTATAGTTTTATACAGAATTAAAATCTGAAAGTTTGAAGATTAACTGTTTAATAATGTGTTTACATTGTTAATGAATATAATTTCTTACCTTTTAAAACTAGACTATTTATATTAACTATTAGTATTCTCAAATTAAAAATGTATCTTTGTTCAGATGCTATGTTTATTCGATAGAAATATCTTTAAATAGATTATACAAAACTATTTCGTTAAAACCGTAAAGGGGTCACAGACATCAAACAGCGATGAGTGACGATCGATGATCTGATATAAAAATCAAATGCATTCACAATTAAACCGAGCGGACATCACTGAAACAGTAACATTTTATCATTTATGTAATAAAAAATCCTCCGCCATATTTGTTATTTAATGATTATATTAGCATACGTTAAGTTCTTAACGGAGTAATCATTAATAAGAATTACAATTTGAAAGAGCTGAAACTCTTACACTGCTCTACTGATATTGTACAATAATTAACATAACTGAGTATCACCCCAACGAGACTGGCTTTCGAAGAAAAATCCTATCAAAATCGGTCGCTCCGTTTGGCACTACGTTGCCACCGATAGATACACACAGACGGACAGGGTTATAAAAATTAATTACTTATTTCACTTCAAAATAAAATATATTATTATTTCTTTAAACATTTTCAGCAATATTATTATATTCTCATCTCGTCTGCCCGTGATCACGGTTGCTGGAAAGGGGGCGTTCATAAAATACGTGAGATATTTAAGGAGGAGGTCGAGTGAAATCTCATCCAATCTTACGTTGAAGGGGGGAGTCTCGGCAAATATCACGTAATTTTTTTTTAATGAAATAGAAAAAATATTGGTCCATTTAATCCAGATTGTACATATAAGATTTAATCTTAAGCGTAATCCCTAATTCGTTCAAAAAAAAAATTCAATTATACTTCGACGTTATACATTTACTGACAGTGACTGTCAAGCCACCATAACCCATGAAAAAAAATCTCACGTGAGATTGGGGGATGGGAGGGTCAGAAATTTCAAAAAACCAATACACATAATTTATGAACGCCTCCAAAGTAATCGAAACGTCGCGTCGGGAGTATGTAGTTTTAAAAATAATAAAATAACGCTTATTAATATTAGTTTCATTTAAAAGAATACTCGCGAAAGTCTTAGATCTCATTATTATATTTTAAACTTATCCGTTACATTACCACAAGTTTGTATTACACCACATACAAAGTGTTTTCAGTTGCCTATAATTGGAAATGCTACGTGTATATCAAAGTCTTTAATGACGATTGAATTGTTTTGCGTTGTTTCGCAACCATACATAATAAAAAACAAATTCCTAATAATTGAAATAAAGTTTCTTGCTTGAGTAAGAAAAATATGCAAACTCCGACATCAACATGTATAATACGTGCAGCTTTGAATGTAAATAAATTTGTTTTTTCAGCTTTCATTGTTTACTTCGCTTTCCAAACCAGTTTCTTTTGGCTGAATGTCATGTGCTATGACATTTGGAGGACTTTCAGGTTGGTGTATTTGTATAATATTGGTTTGTTGCATTCGGATAAGTTGTGTAAGATAATAGATAATAAATCTGTGAAGATTGCAATAATTTCAAAAAACTTCCTTCAATTTTAATTTCTATAACCCGTTACAGTATCCGTGGAGTTTATTTAATATATCTCTAAATTATTTTCATCTTTGTTTTCTATTTTTTCTTTTATTATTTATAAGACTCGTGTTTTGAAAGTATATGAGCTGTATTTGAACTTTACGTCATTCCTCGGATACTGTAGTGGGTTCTAAATGCACAGTTTGGTTTTTGAAGCTTAGATGATGGTTGTGGATTTCAGAACGGTCGTACCTGATCCTCATAGCGGCAGAATCAATCCGTAGGTCTTAAACCACTACACTACTTGCGAAGTTGAGTACCATTGACTGGATGTTTCAACTTTTTTGAACTTATTTGATGGGTACAATACTAACCTGATTAATTCAAATAACTATCCAAATACCTTCGCAAGTAGTGTAGAAGGGCCATACCTAAATCCGTTGTTCGTAACACCGGCATGGTTAACATTGTCCAATTTTCAATTCAATTCGCTATACATAAATCTTTTATACATTTTACATGTATAGTACAGACTTAGTTGTTTTAATTATTCTTTTGTAATGTATCTAACTAAAAATCTACTTTCGTTGAGCTCTTTAGCCAGTTACAAGTATTAAACTTTACGAACGTTTTAACTAATTTGCTTTAGTAAATTCGGTCTTATTCAGCTTTTTAAATTTGTTTTTTGAACATATATAAATTTACACTAAATACAAATAAGCATAAATCTTAGATGGCAATAAATACATATTAAAAAATAGCTATATTTTATATAGATAACCATGTAGGTTACGAGAAATAAGCACAACGAATACTTTGAGTAAATGTTTGTGTTCTGTCAATAGTACTTAGCGTTTTATTTTAATTGTATTTCCAAGTACATACATTAATTACTAGCATGGCGTCTTGGTAGCATGAATAATAATACTTAGTGACATGCATAGTATAGAAAATGAATGAGTGTTTGTAGTTAAGATAATAAAAATAATTAATAAGACGCTTCATATAACATTTTATGTCCATGCATAACAAGGATTGGAAGTCTATCTTCCACTCTTCATGCTGCAAGGTTGGTTCGATACAATAACTCTTGAAGAATATACACATATATAAGATTATATCACAAAGTCAATACATATATTACTTTAATAATTTTATTCATGTAATTTATAATGAGTTGATATTGGTAAATTTGTTATTAAATCGTATTTTTCAGTGGCTATCGAGGTGGAAGTACGAATAAACGTAGAGACCAAAGAAGATTTCTCGCTTACGGAGTTTACGCTTGGGGCGTGCCAGCAGTGTTAACAGCTATCACTATTGCTATGGAGTTCAGTAAAGAACTACCTGATAACATCATTACACCTGGCTTTGGCAGCCAACGATGCTGGTTTGACGGTATGCCTTAAAAGTAACCTACAGTTTATTAGCAATTAGCAAAAATGTTTCTTCAGCTTAAAGTACCAATAAGTCACCTTAATATCAATGTCTCCTATGTACAAGGACCAATTTGCAGAATGTAAATTTTTCAGTAGAGGCGTTTTAAGTTTGATTTCAATGTATCTTTTACGTACGACATCTGATGCTTTTGAAACTTTGCATAGCAATATGTTCCATATTTTTTATTCGACAATGTAAGTTTATTATATTCCTACAAAGTCTAAATGTATGTACGAAGCGTATAAATAGCCGTAGAATAAAATGTTAGATGAACCACGAAATATTTTTACGCTCTCTTTTGTTCTAACTATAGAAACCATTAATCAAATACCTATATTATAGATTGGATGAGCGAGCTCGTGTACTTCTTTACACCGGTTTTCGTGCTAGTGGTGTGCAACGCGACTTTATTTACCGTCACAGCTTACCGGATAAGGTCAATCAGACAGGAAACAGCTATTCTGAAAGGCTCTGAATCATCTCGCAGTGACAAGCTAAAGATGGACAAACAGAGGTAGAACATAAAACAACATATTAATATGAAAATTAGCAAAAGAGTTAACCGACTGTAAAATATTTATTTAAATGAATTTAATATTTTTCGGATACATTACGCGTGCTCTATTTTTGTAAAAAAACTACATAATCCTGACGTTTCCGCTACTTTTCAGCAACTGTGATCATGGGCAGACGAGATGTGAATATCCGAAAAACATTAATTTAAATGAATAAAACTCGCGAAAATCTTAGATCTCATTACATGTTTACACTATACATGTTTTAAAATGATATAATTTTTAAGGTACGGATTATATTTGAAGTTGTTCGTGGTTATGGGCATCAATTGGACCGTGGAGGTGATAAGCTTCGCTGTGGGCGGCTCAAACTGGTACTGGATCGTTGTCGATCTGTGTAATATAGCGCTTGGCGTCTATATATTCTTTATTTTCGTGTGGAAGAAGAAAGTTCGGAACTTGATTCGTAAAAAGTACGTATATGTACATCTTTATTCATTAATCGCACGTAAAAAAACAATGCTAGTATATACTATTTTACTGGTTTTTGTCCGTTAAATCGTTCAAAAGGACCATTTAATTGGGTTTAGAGTATTAATTAAGCATGTTTAAGCAATAAATATGGTAACTAACCAGCACTAATAGCTATAGTAAGGGTTACCTGACTTCATAAACGTACTGTAAGAAGTAACGAATACATTTTCATGCTTCGATAATGCAGAATTGTACTTGAATTCTGCTATAAAATATATTCTGTTGTTTAATCTTACATTACTGTACGTTCTCGTCAAAATCTGTTTAGTATTCTTTGTGTTACAAAACAACCAACATCTTTATATCCGTAAGTTATAACAAACTTTTAAATTCATAATATTTAACAAGATATACTTATTTTTAGTTATTATTATTAGTTAACAAGATATTATTATTATTAGTTAACAAGATATTATTATTATTAGTTAACAAGATATACTTATTTCAATATAAATAAACTATATGAATAGAATATTAACCCTTGCAATTTTGAGCATCTCTATTTCAGAAAGTTATAGACAACTTTAATTGAACTTATGTGGTGGCTGATGAGTTATTATTTTTGTTCATGAAATTTAAAAACCCCAATAATATACGAGTATGTAAATCTATACTTTTACATGAAATCAGGTCTTTCAAACACTACAGTTTAAAGAAAGATCTTCGTATTAAAATATGTACATCTACAGTTGATTATAAGGATCCACCTACGAACTTTGAATTTGACAGTTTTTTTCTGTAATGTCAAAAGATGTTAGCTTTAACACCACGTGAATTGTTATTACCTAAATGATTATTTTCAGATTCCGTAGCATCCGCGGCGTGCCAATGCCTGAAGGTTCAGGAAAATGGGTGACACGCTCAAGTTCGGCGCCAACAGAGGACACACGCGTCACAGACGAAACAGCCATACGATTAAAGGACATGAACTAGTAATTGTACGTATTGAAAAAAAATATTTTTAAAATTTATTTTTTTATTATCTGTGAACATTAGTCCACAGATTATTATTTATAAATAAAGTCGTTAAACTTCTAGTCTTATGTCTTTCATAACGTATATTTCTTTTATTTCAGATACAAATCGAAGGATTGAAAAGTTTATTTGAGCTTGAAAATTAAACTACTTATTTAAGCCTTAAATGAATACTGTCTTCTGCTAGTCAATTTTAAAGAACAAATTAGTTTTAAGATGTTATTATTTTGTGTCGACGTATGTGTTGAATGTAATTAATAAATTAAGGACTTAAACATTTTCGTCTATACCGTCTAATAATGCAACAAAAGTTTTTACATAGATATTCTACATATTTTCCCTTACTTGTATACCAAGACAAAAAATAAAGCATAGAAAATTGTTCCTGTTTTATACCAGAAATATTACTCTAATATATTATAAGTAAGTACTATTCAAATATATATGTATATTATTAATGATAATTAGATATAAAATATAATTAGATGTTTTACTTTTCCTCTTTGAATTTTTTATAACTTTCAATTCTCTTTTAATATTTATTTTTTATATTTTTAAACCCTTAAACATATTATCTAAATGAATTCAACAACGCCAAATATTCTATGTCCTTTGATTTCGTTTCACGATTCCAAATCGATTGGACCAATAGAGTTAAAAACGGAGATTTTTTTTGTTTCATATTGACTAAAGCTGTTAGCCCCAATGGCTTTCACAGCGTCACCGAGAGGGGAAAAACGGAGAGAACTAAAACGTTAATTTAGATTAAAATAAATATATAGTTATATATAACACTTGAAAAATTAAAAATATGATTACAAAGCCTATATTTTCTTACATGGTTCCTTTATTTGTTTTCTAAAACATTTTGTTTCTCTATTTAATGCCAGTTTTATGTACGATTATCGATAGGATATATTTTGATTTTGTCATAAGTTTAACATTTTGTCTATGGTATAAGATGTTATACAACACTAATATTATTCATGAAAGCCACAGTGCATTCCCAGTGTGTAACTCACGAAAATGTATGCAACATTAGATTAAGTATAAAAACTTTAAAAATTTAAAACATTAGTAAATAAGTTATTAGGTTATGTGTGCTTGTTAAAATCAGTGATGTAATTAATTGTTCGTATCTAAATTGTGGCCTTTTTAAATAAATATAAATACTTAAATTGGAGGTTTTATTTCCCTTTATCGTTTCTTTATATTGTGAAATAAATAAATTAATCATAATATTGTTCTTAAAACTTAAATACTAAACATAAGTTCCACGTTTTTTAAGGGAGCAACGATTCCTAGTAAAATAATTGATATAACTTAATATTCATATTCATAGGCAGGTATTAGTAGATAGTTTCATATAATAATACATCAAGGAATTAAGAAAAGACGGATATAACTTAACTAAGTAAACTACTTAACTTTTTTCCCGTTAAGGACAAACATTAAAATATGTATATAAAAATATAAACCAAAAATTTTATTTTATTCAAATTATGAAAGGTGATTGAAGAGAGGTGTTATAAGTTTAAGGGCAATGTATATTTGTGTCCCTCTGTAGCATCAAAGTCCTCAAACTTAATTCTTAACCATATTATTTGGCTAATATCAGTCCAGCACTGTAATAGCATCAGTTTTTTTTTTTCAAAATTATGTATAGCATTCTAAATTTCTGATTACTCGAGAAGTTCCGTAGCCAAGCCAGTATAATTGTGAGATGACAATTAATGCATAAAGTATTTCTTTTTATTCAATACTATTTGTTTTTTAAAAAATATTAAGACTTCACTGTGTACGTTAGATATCAAACATTTAAAGTACAAATAATCCTATAATTTTTTTTAAAAAAAGTAAAGGAACTTATATCAATTCATAAACTTTAGAAGTTTTCAGACATATCAACTAGTTTTTGAACGTAAATGCAGATAACAGTTTGACAATATCCGACGTTGGCAGTGAGTACTGAGTACTGACTACTGAACATTGACAAATAAGAAGTGACAGTGACTGCAGTATTCAAAACATTATACCTTACTAGTTCGTCTACGTAAAGTAGGTAAATCAAAACTGCACAGTAAAAAGAATCTTTATATACGAATTTTATAAAAGTGTCCACTTATTGTAATTATATGATGAGTGTAGGTAATATTAATACTCAATTATGACACAGACTTGTTGCATTTTAGATTAGAATCTCGTAATGTTTGCTAGTTTTACAGATATATAAGGAAAGGTATAACATTTTTGTAAATAACCTTTGGACTTATCATGCCGCTTTCTTTATTTAGTATTCCCACTATCGTGTTGTTTTTGTCGGTTTTTGTTTCATATTACTGTATCATTTATTATAATAAGGCAGGTTGGTCTCGTTTTCATTACGACAATTCATTTTCACTTCATGTATATAAATATGTATGTACTCTTACAGTACCAATGGCCAATAATGGAATACTTTTCATTTCAAACGCTGCCAAGGCTCATAAACTTTGCTCGAAAATATCGAAATGTGTGAAAAATGTTTTATATATAAATTTTAATAGTGGACCAGAAAGCACATTGTCAATTGTAAATAAACAAATTATTGATATATATTCTAAGGTTGGTAATTTATTATTGTCGTATTTAGCCATTATAAATTTTATTGAATATGTTAGAAGTGAGATTTTATCGAATATATGATGATAAATATTTTACAGGTACCAAAAAATATGCAGATAGATATAAGACTGATGTTGAAACCAAGGGAGACTGGAAATAAAATCAAAACCAATAATGCAATAGAGTTGATAATGTATGACAAAGATTTAGCAAATGAAGTTGATAATTTGAAATATTCACTAACAAATAAAAGAGAAAATGTAGATATTGAAAGTGTAGGTAAGTAAATTATTTAATGTGAGTAGGTAAGTAGGTAAGTAATTTGATTATTTAATAAGTGTGTAGGTAAGTAATTTGATTATTTAATTTTTATTATAAAAAATATGGTATTACATCTTAAATGTAACACTTAGTGGAAATTCTTTTAGTTACAAACAGTAAAATTATATCCCTTATGTATGAAAAAAATTATTTAGTTGAATATTTGCTCATTGTAATTATTCATCTTTATGTTCATGTAATTTTATCAGAAAATGAAAAAAATGCAGCCGAAGAAGTGAAAGAAGATGTTAAAGTGTATGATTATGTGGCACTCGGAGGAACATTTGATCGTTTGCACAATGGCCATAAGATTTTGTTGTCTCAAGCAGTTTTGCGAGCTAAAAAACATGTTACAGTTGGTGTCACCGACCTCAATATGATACAATGTAAGTGTTTAAACATGTTTTATTTTTTCACTCATATCTCTACATAGATCATACTCATGATAAATAATATAACACCATAAAATTATAATTATATTATCATATACAGAATGTATTGCATAAGCTTTAAATTTATCATGAGTTTGCTCTATCCAATTAAACAAACATGGCTTACAGTTTTTCAGTCATATATGTATATTTAGACTATTATGAGCAATAAATTTGTATGAAAACTTAAAAACTGACTGTGTTTAGTTTGTTAATGTAAACTTGTGATAAGAATACAGTTTTGTACATCCAAATGATGCATGAAAATGTTTAATGTTTTAATTATTATCGTAATCTCCATATAAAATTATACCCATTATTCTTTTTTATTATTACTTGCAGCTAAGAAATTATGGGAGTTAATTCAACCGATCGAGATAAGAATTAAGGCAGTATTAGACTTCCTGACTGATATAAATCCCGACTTAGAATACAATGTACTGCCAATCCAAGATGTGTATGGACCGACTAAAGATAACCCTAATTTCCAGGTAAGTTAGAAAAGATATTTGTTTTTATTTATCATGATATAATTTGAGTGGCGGAGTTACCAATTTCTGAATATTCCTAAGATAATATAAGAGTGACTATTTTTATTATATATCAATATTAGTTCCCTAAGAATAAAAAATACTGGAACAGTGTTTGTCTATTTATATATATAACACTACTTCTTATTGGTAGCTATAGAAATTAATATATTATATTTAGTATTTATCTAAAACTGCATTAAAACATTTCATATTTAAAATTAGTTAAATAAAAGTTAATTATAAATATTTTTAGTTATTAGTGGTCAGTGAGGAGACAAGTCGAGGTGCGATCAAAATTAATGAGAAACGTAAAGAAAATGGACTAAATCCTTTAGATGTTTATACTATCGGACTTGCTGAAGACACAAACCAGCAATCATATGAGGAAGAGGCCAAGCTGAGTTCAAGCAATCAAAGGATGAGGTTACTGGGAACCATTATAAGAGAACCTCGGGTAAGCATTTGTTATGCAATAGATTAAAATGTTCAAATCGATTTATTTTTTTATAATAATAAAATTTAAATAGAGTTCTAAAATACATGAAGTAAAACTAAATGTATTGTTTTATGAGGTTAAGATTCTAATGTTGTATTACTAATATACTAGACCTGCCATTCAAATTTTATTATCAGCTGTTGTTTTATCTGTATTAATTCATGTCTAAAATATTTCAGCCCAACCCAAATATCCCGAAGCACCCATATGTGATTGGTCTAGCTGGCGGCATAGCCAGTGGGAAGAGCAGTATCACAGAAAAGTTAAAGTATGTTTAACATATTTATATATATACATATACTAGCTGTTACCCGCGACTCTGTCTGCGTAAATAAAACAATGAAAACAATCACTGTTAAGCAGTGGCGGCTGGTGGGTTATCGAACTGGTGGTGCACTTTATTAAAATATTAAAATTAGAAAATGCAACAAAAAACCAATTGACATAAAATATGTTTATTTTTTATACATTAAATCAATGCGACGACATGTTTCTATAGCGAAATCTTCAATAACCTTTTTATTAAAATCGGGTATTGTTTGTATTTTTTTTCAATACTTCGCAAAGAAAGTGCATTTAATTGCAAGTGCATGGTATTTCGGAGAAAAGTTTTGATTCTTTTCAATTCCAATTCGTCATACATCGGGTGTTCTCGGTAATCTTCGGTCGCTCGTGCGGCGCTCGAGAACCGACTCATTACTCGGTACATTTATATGAACTATCTTTTGTTTCACGCGTCAGGCGTATTAATGCGTATCTCATACAAGATGTATTAGCAGTGCACTCACCGAGCACTCACCGAAGCGCACGAGATATTAGTTTAGTAAAGCGCTTAAACTTTTTAAAAATTGGAAATTTAATTTTTTATACGTTTTTGTATGTTTAGAAAATAAATATTAAAATGGTAATTTAAAAATAAAGATGAAGTAATATTTTGTAATTTTTAAATCTTTTGAATTGGTGGTTCAGCGCACGAGTGCACTTAAGGTACAGCCGCCACTGCTGTTAAGTCAATAATAAACACATAGACGGACAAAAGAAGATTTTTTTCTAAAATAAAAGTAGTCTGAGTTACTCCTTATTACATAAACTACCTGCCTATTAAAATGCTGTCAAAATCGCTCCCGCAATTTTAGAGATGCGGGAAAACAATTATACAGACAGACAAAAACTGTTAGAAAAAATAAAAACTGTATATTAATACGCATGTAGTTTTAAACGGTTATTTCGATATTACAAACATACTCCAACTATATTTGTATGAATAGTATTAGGAAAATGAACAATATTTTATGTTTTGTTTTGTTTTAATTAGTAAATATGTATCTTTTAGTAGTTGTAAAGATAGTGATATTAAAGTACTTTTCTCTTAAATTAAAAATTAAATTTACCACCTAAATTTCACTCAAGCAAATATGATTTCGTGTAACTAAACTTTTTTTTTTTTTGAACATAAAGGAGAATATTTTTGGATATGTACAATGTACATTCATGTACAAAATGAAAATTAATTATGGGTATAAAGAGTAGTGTGTACCTCCAAATCATTGTTATAACATTTACACATTGTTTAATATGAAATATTCTCTCTCCAGACTGAAAGGTGCAGCTATATTGAACTGCGACATCATAGCTCATGAACTATACAAGCCTGGGCTGCCATTAAACCATACCATCGCTGAGAGTTTCGGAAGTGACGTCATTACTGATGAAGGGGAGGTGGACAGACGGAAGCTGGGAGCTACTGTGTTCAGTGATAAGGTTAGTGGATAAAATGACTGAGAATAAAAGATAAAGGAATATTAATTTTATTTTATTGCTGAAACAAAAAGATGATATAAGTTTATCTTTAATACATAATTGAAATAAATTCTTTGGTTACTATCTTCATTTTAGCAAAGTCACACATAAAATAAATTACATTAAAAACACTAGAAACGCAAAATAATAGCAAAACAAACTAAAAAAGAATAATGAAATGTAACACTTCAGATAAAATACGAATGTAATTTTAATATGTAATATATGTTTTATATTGTTATATACACATATAAACTCATTATAGAGAGTTGAAAAATCCCTACTTAATATTATAAATGCGAAAGTAACTCTGTCTGTCTGTCTGTTACGCTTTCACGCCTAAACCACTGAACTGATTTTAATGAAATGTGGTACAGAGATAGAGTTGACTTTGAGAAAGAATATAGGATAGTTTTTATCCCAGACTTTTGAAAGGTTCTCTTGGAAACGGGATATAACCGAACTGGACGCGGGCGGAAATCTAGTAGTATAATAAATAATAATCCATACCTTTACAAAATCTTCCACAGAGTCAATTACAGAGACTGAACTCATTAGTATGGCCGGCTGTTATCCAAGAAGCGCAGAAAAGGATCAAGGCGTTAGGAGAAGCTGGTAGTTCAGTAGTGGTGATGGAGGCCGCTGTGATGGTTCAAGCCGGGTGGTACAAATATTGCCATCAGCTATGGACAGTCATTATACCACCAGAAGAGGTTGGTAATACCATATAAATAGTTAAACTATACTTGAGCATTCTTTTTTGGAGTTTTTGGGCTTAATTAAATTAATATATACGCTTAACATGTAATGAGATCTAAAATTTACGGTATTAATTTAAATGAACCTAATCTTTTTGGATAACTACGCGTATTTTATTATTTTTAAAATTACATACTCTCGACGTTTCGGTTATTTTGCAGCAACCGGCTTTTAATTGACCTATATACTTTGCCACAAAAAAAATCAAAATATATTTAACATATTTATGTTGGTTAAAATTTGCTATAATACCAAGACCTCATATATGTCATTATAATAAAATTGAATTATTTTTGGTATCCAGGCGGTGAAAAGACTACAGGCTCGCAATAACTTATCAGAAGCAGAAGCCAAACAGCGCGTGAGTGCCCAACCTTCAAACCAGGAACAAGTTGCTTTAGCCAATGTAGTGTTTAGTCCATATTGGAGCTACGAACACACCCAGGGACAAGTTGACCGGGCTTGGGAAAACTTGCAGATATATTTACAATAATTAATTTATATAATGTTATTTAATGTTTATTAACTTGGAATGAAACTATATTGGAATGTACAGGTATGTTCATGATTTGAAATAATAGGTCAATGTTCTATCTTGCCAAAAGATCTTATAAATTGTTACAGATTACCTCAAACGTATGTATACCAATTGATTTTATCTTTAATAGTCATTTCATATCACCAGCATTATTATGACTAGCCAGTGATAACTCTAGTCAGAAGATTATTTACCAGTTTTATGTAATTTGGCCTTTAAAAATTTACTCATTATAATCTGATTCTGACAAATAACTCTTAAATAACTAGTGTCTATTGATGCCATAACTTAATATTGCCGTCTGGTCTCACTGATCCTCAATCAGTAAAGTTTTTTCCTATAATTATACTCTCAGTTCTAGAATTGGTTGTAGTAAACTTGTTTTCAACAATTGTCATGATATTTGTTTTTAAGAGAAAGGAAATGTTGGTATAATGGTAATGTTTATAAAGCACAGGACAGTCAATTATGTTTTACTTTAATACACACAAAAACAACACAATCAGGAGTAGAAGTCAAATATTTCTGATTATCTGAAGTTGAAATAAGTGCTGGTGTTTCTTAGCTACTGGTATAGACAGCTTTTGAAGAAGACTTTTGCTATGTTATGTCATTTAAGAACTTCAAAAGAAATGTTACATACATATTTGTTTTTTTATTCTACAAGCACTGAGTGCTTGTATATAGATAAAATATGCCTACATTTTAGTCAGTGATTCTGTGTCCAACCTATACTGATTGCTTGTTGTTGGTTAGTGTTCTTATTTCTGGCAATTACAAAGCTTTAGCCAGGGTTTGCCTATGTAGTGTTCTGGGTAAATAAAAAAGTTGGAGATAGTATGATGATGATTGCCCGGGCTTGTGTAATCTATTCAAAAGGTCAGTCGATGAATAAACTCGCATCTTGACCTCGTCAATTGTGCCTTGGATACAGCCTTCGCACATACCTCCTTGGTGTCAAATGAAATATACAAAATATATGAAATTTAAAATAAATATAGTTTCATTACAACATGTTTGAAGCTTCATCGGTGATGTAGAATAAGACTTAATCATAAGTGTATTGTGTGATATTGTTATTATGGTAGAATAAAAATGTTTTTACGATGCATTATTTTTTTGCATTAGTCTTTATTTTTATAATATTCTATTTAATGCCGAACTTCAATTGTTAACGATTTCTTGCACCGACAGCTTTTCGTTGACATTCGTTAGAACTAATTATGTTTAAGACGGGACAATTGTCCAATTAATGGCATTTAACAAGAAAGACAATAATATGAATGAGTGTGAATGAAACCATAGCATAAAAATATAAATGACAGGCTAATTAAAACCTTCATGATCTTATTATTTTTTTTTTTACTTTATGTTATAATTTTAAAAAAGGTTAAGGTTATTCTTCCCATTCTTATTATGAAATGTCATCAAGGACACCAACTAAAAACGTCACAAAAGTTAAAAAAATGACATTTCTACTGTTACATAGTAAATATCAAAGCATTGTTGAATTATTATTATAACAGTTATACTTAGACGTTATGTTGAAAATATATTTCTTATTTTTGAAAATAAAATATGTTCAATCATTATGTTTTTTAATTCAATTCGTCCAAACCAAAATAATGTTATGGCCGTAAATACGTAATGATACATCACTAATCATATCATATAATATAAGACTAATACACTTATAACATTTCCATGATATACTAGTTGTTACACGCAACTTTGATTGCCTTTTATCTTGTTTTTTTAAAAAAGCAACCACATTTTCCTAAATGATCAGCTGACTGGTACTGAAAATTAAGGTCAAAAATCGCTTAACCGTTTAAAAACACAACACAAAGATAATTTCTGAAATTAAAGTTTAAAAAAACATTTTATTTATCTAAAAGATCATTCATATAGAAGAAACGTTGATTGATTTCATATGGAAACCCAAGTTATTGGATTACACAATTACATCATTCCTCCGTTTCACTTTAATAATGTAAGTCCAGATTACATTCACACTCAACTTAACTATTGAGTAGTAATGATGTCGGTTAAAGGCAGCATATTATGGTCACTAATGATACTACATTTTGTAAGCGGAATGAACGATAATTTCACTATTGAAGATACTGAAGATACATTCAGAACAGAAATCATAGTAAGTAATTAAAAGAAAAAAAAAACAACATAAGTAATTATATAAGTAAAAAAATATATATGTATATTAGAAAACGACTTAAGCTATAATAACATTTGTATTGCAATTTTTTATTGGTTTCGTGAAATCAGTTTTTAATGAGTCCATAAAATGTTTTCATCAATCTTAGAATATTTCGAATTGAGGCAACTGGTGTTGTTCCAAATATGGTTTTTCTATGAAATTAATACATAATTAAGTATCCCTTGTCCCTCACTACTAGTCGTTTTAACATTTTTATATTTTAAGATGTAACTACAAAATTTAAGTACTCATTTTAAATTAAGTTTATATATAGAAGTTTGCCTAAAAATATTTACATGTAATAAATAATACGTTAGTGGGCATAAAAAGTAAACCCAGACATGATCTTAACAAACTGTATTCTTAGTTAAAGTTAGCAATTTTTCATTGCATATTGCGTTTCCCGTTTTCCATTCAATAAACTACATTAATAAAATCAAAATTTATGAATTAAAAACTTAAATCTGTTTAAGAAGTTAGACGTTGCCTACTTGGGTTAAAATGCGCTTTAAGACTGATCCACTAACATCGATATAAAAGAGTCAACAGAATTCTGAATTATTAAAGTTTTTTCTAACAATGTTTACTCTAATCACAATTTTGCCAATAAAACATAGACTTAAATATTATTATGGCCGAATATCTACGAATGAAAAGCTGAGAATTGTTTGTAATCAATTGGACCATACAAACATATGGTTGTTGTAATGAGTGTTTAAAAAATGATAAATCATTTGAACACACAAAGTAGTGCCTGAATAATAACAAAATAATGATTTTTTAGGCGGAGCTAATCCAACTGAATTTGAAAAATAATGGTTGGAGCAACATCTACATGATTGGCAAACTACCGGATGAGTTGTATTCTAAATTAAAAACTTTACCATTCACCTTCACTACCAGTACTATTGACACAGACGATGAAGATATAGAAGACGTACTGGCTTATCATTCAAACATGATTGTAATAAGCTGTTCTGATTTTGACGAATTCGAAGACGCCATTAGAAAAGCTATGCTGTCGCCATATTGGCATCCTTTAGCTAATATAATATTGGATTATCATACGCCGTTAAAAAATGAGATTATTGCTAAAATATTTTTTGCCTTCTTCTTTCATCAAGTAGTTAACGTAATAATCATTCATAATAACAATAACTCGCTTTTAATATCTCACTACAATCAGTTTATAACTGAAAATTATAAGCTTCAAGAAAACTTCGGATGTTGGACATCAAGTAAAGCAACTGTGAGGATAGACAAATTCGAGACTGGTTTTACATGTGTTCAGGATTGCCACAACGTATCATTGCACTCGTTGTTGAGGTCTCAACATCTGGGTACTTGTATTGGATTCAACACAGAAGTAATTTTCAATAAAACACAAATTAAAAGCATTAACTTTTTTGAGGATAAAGCAAAAAATATGCATGGGTATACAATGCGTGCGTATGCAATTGAAGTTCTACCATTTTTTATAATAAAACCCAGTGGTAATGGATCTTTTACTTTGCATTCTCGAGATGGAATGATCTGGAATACAATGGCTGAACTTTTTAATTTTAAAATCGACTTATCTCCTAGTCGGGATGTCATGAAGACAAAGTTTAATTTTGAAAAGAATATCGCTCAATTGTTCGACTTTGTACGACGAAAAGGCGATTTACTTTTATTTCCTGTTTATCAATTCGACATAGTTGTTCTTGAAGTAGATTATACAGTGCCTTATATAGACAGCGGTCTCTGTATATTATCCCATCGGGCAGATTACGAAACTATTGTGTTTAATATAAAACTTTTGGAGCAAAATTCAGATCTGATAATCAGGTTTATAATGTGTTTTTTATGTACTTGGGTGGTATTTCTCCTCTTTAATATGGAACAATTTGGAAAGATCACTTTTGACCAAGCAGGAAAAGATTTAATAAGCACATTTAAAATAGTATTATCTTTGAGCCTTTCCCGATATCCAACAAAGAACTCATTTCTTTTATTTTTCTTCTTTGCCATATGGAGCTTTTTCGTTCTTAATTTTAGTACACAAGCTGCTATTATTTCTCTGTTCTCTGCTTATAAAAGAGGAAAAGAAGTTGATACCTTCGAAGATGTAATTGAAAAGGGCTATAAGATTGAAGGGATGTCGTCACCAGATATCATGCTTCCAGATACAGAAGAAAAATTTAGGAAGATTAATTCAAAACTGGAACCCTTACAAGATTTATTTGGATGTGTTAAATACATGCTAAACGATAGTAAGAGATTTTGTGTCATAGATTGTACTGTTGGTCGCTATTTGGAGACAAATATGTTGAATGAAAAAGGAAAACAGTTCCTCCATATTGCAAGAAAAGATAAAATTCATAGCTATTATTTAAATATGATGTTTCATAAACATTCAATATTGACAGAGCGTTTTAACAAATATATTTTGATGATATTCGAAGCTGGCCTAATAAGAAAATGGATGGATTACAGATTTACTGTCATTAAAGAAGAAGTTCCTCTTAAAGCACTAGGAATGGATGATATGGAGGGAATATTTAAATGTTTCGGTATACAGTTATGTATTTGCTTGATAATTTTCCTAGTCGAATTGTTTTTTTGGGTTTATTAAATACATGCAAAATAAAGTCCTAAAGAAGAAACATAGGCTTTAAATCACTTTTAAATTTGAATTCAAAAGTAGGATGAAATATAGCAAAAGCACTGCAAGATTGACACAAACTTATTTATAAGTATTTATTAAGTAAGTCTGCACGTTTGATAATTTGTCGGTGATTAGTTAATGGAAACAATGATTGTAATAATTATTCGTTCAATCAAGTAATAAGCAATTTATGATATTTATTAGAAATGCTTTTTATGAGTGATTATTATAATATTTATAAATATTAACATAATTTATATCTTAAAATGTTATGTATTTAAAAAAAAATAGTTGTGGTTAATGTTAATGATTTTGTGCTAATATAAAATAAAATATCTTTAAAAAGTTTCATCAATGTTTTATTATTTCCAAAGAATAAGTTATAACGAAATAGATAGATATATTTAATTCTTTAACAAATGCTCATAATCGTCTAGTCATTTTTATTTATCATCAGTACATTATATATATATATTTTTTAATCTGTTCAACTTTGTGGATAGTTAATCTATGTACATGTAGTATGTACTGAATTTGTTTATGGATAAACTGTGAATTTGGTGTAAACTTATTGTTTGGTGAAAGATACATAATAATGATCGTGAATATAATAAATTAAATCAATAGAACAATTAAGATTAATGGGAAATTTGAACACTAAAACCAGTTTACATACAAATCATAAACAAGCAGTTCATTCCGTTCGTGACGGTCAAACATTTACGAGTCAGGTAATTTTTTGCGATATAAAACTTGCTAATGTCATTCTCAGCTGAACATACGTAACATAATCAAACTCTTTGTTACTCATAACACGGTCAGCTTAGGCATATTACCTGCGTTTTGTGTTTTCGGATACGGTACAATTATCCAGTTTTTAGTTAATATCGCCCTTATGGGCGTAAGTGAGTTCTTTGTTTGTAGATAAGTGTGCAAAAGCATTGTTTTTGTAGTTCAGCTTGTCTCATTTCGTCGGTAACCTCAGTGGGCGCTCCTTCGCCAGCGTAACAAGCAACCAGTCAGTATACAGCGCATCACGACCTTGGTCTCGGATCTCTAGACGAAGGTTAGTGCATGTTATTTAATATACTAACAAAAATGTCTTGCATCATTTATGTTTGTACTGATATTGATTATGAAATATGTTGATTTGTTTTCTTTGAATATTTAGTACTTACAGTGGATTAAGCAAGAAATATCCAAAGCTTTACAGTAATTTATATTTTAACTTGAAAGTTTTGTTTGCTTAAAGCAGTTGCTTAAATTAAGTTAGTATATAAACAATATCACAAAATCATTTCTATTTAAAAACAGTTTTTGTTATTACATGAAATATATAACATGGTGATTTTATATTTTAATAAAATTATAATTAATTCTGCTAAACATGTTTTATAGAGATGGTCATCCATCTAACAAAGACTTGTTAATACTTAACTAATTACTGTTTGTTAAATTAAAACATTAAATCTAATAACTACTGGCCACAGTCATGTTTTAGTAGGTAAAGTTTTAATTTAATTGTGTAAAAATGTAATTTTTCATCATATAATATTCAGCATGGTATTTTTAAAATCAAAAATACCATGCTGAGTGTTATACTCTCATGGTATTTTTAAAAACACCATGCTTAAGACTTTATACCTGGTTATAAATGACTTAGTTAACATTCATTGTTGTTTCAAGTCTTTTTAAATACAAGTTTTAACTTAAGAAGCTCCTTAATAGTAATATTTATATATACATATATTATATTTATTAAAATTTAGTAAATCTTGTAAAGATACTCATGGTTGTATATAATTAGTCATTAATAATATTTTAGATTGATAGGTATATGAATGTGTTGTATGCTAAGCAAGTAAATGTAAATATTGTTTGTTCTGTAAATTCAGAAAGTATCTAACAAAATAAGTTACTTTTATAAATAATACCACTTCTGACCTAAACCATTTTAACAATTGTATGTCTTTAGTGTTACTCCATGTATATTTATTTGAAACTTATTTAAAACATTTTAAGATTTTTAATGCAGTGGTGATTTCTTCAAATTCCTACATTTTAATTACTCAGCCTAATGACATAAATTTTTAACAATTTTGCTGGAAAAGACAGAAAGATGATATCATTTATTTGGTTATAAGTAAAAGAAGCTAAAAATGTGATTTATCATTGAAATAATTCATAGCTATTGGGTTGAATGCAAAGATTTTTATTTTGCATAGGTTTTTATACTATAAATGTGGTGACATTTTGATCCCAATAACATATAAATACCACATACATAATTCTTCTTCTTCTACCTGGCAATTTCCCTGCTTTAGCCAGGGTCTGCCTTTAAGACATGGTTACGACATAGGTTTTTATGACCGGCCGCCTGCCTGACATCAACCCTCTTTATCACATACATACTATAATAAACAATGTATTATAAAAACAATTGTGACATTTTTCAGATGGAATGATGCCACATTGAATAATCCATTAGAAGCCAGCAAAACTGCATGGCCAGTTGCTCACAAGGAATCAATTTTCCTGCCAGAATTTCCTATAACAACAGATCTACTCCAAAAAGACTTTGAAATAGCACATACAATAGCTAAAGGTGCTTTCGGAGAAGTGTATAAGGTGAAGAAATTGAGCGAGAACAAAGAATATGCTCTGAAAGTGTTGAATAAGTCACAGGTATTTCAATTTTATATTTAAAGTAGTTTTTGAATGCAACTATGTCTGCGTTAGTTTCATAATTAGAAATGTATGACTGGGCAAACCCTATTCCTCTTTAGAGACAGTAGATAAAATTTTGGATTTTTATCAACTTATATTTTATTTTTTTTACAATGAAAAGTATCCTACGTCTTTTCCCTTGTCCTAAGCTATCTCTCCCCCAATGTTCAGCCACACCCATTCAGTCCTTCTTGAGTTATAAATAGTGTAAATAATATGACTTTCTTCCATTTATAAAGATTAGAAAGATCTTTTGAGTATTTTAAGTAATGGTTCAGTCCTAGGGTTGCATCTGTATAGAAAATATCTCCCGTAATTTCATGTCAATAATTTAGTAATAAAAATATTAGTGTTTGTGATTTCAACCAAATAAAAAATTAATAGAAGAATTTTATTTTAAACTTACATGTTGATAATCTATTTTATATGAATAATTATTCAAATTCATAAAAAAACTCATAGTTCCATAGTTCATTTCAAAATCACTTGATTATATCAGATTAAATGGAAAATATTTTTATCATAATAATTTTCTCTTGAATTAAAGAAGTTTATTTAAGATTTAAAAACAATTTTTATTACAATTAATTAGTAATACATATATTATGTATTTTAAATTTACTATTACTTATACTAAACAGGTAATATAGTGTGAACAATATTCAAAGATTTCACTTTGTATTCAAGATGCTGTATATCAGCTACATTTATAGAAAGTATTCATCTTAAGAGGAAACCATTTAAATTATTGGTATATTGATAGGCTTATCTTGTTGACCCAATAAATTTAATGTGTGTACATAAGGCATGTGTGTTAAAGGGTCAGTCTATTTTTGTTGGGAAGCCCGTATTGGTCAATTGAAATCCTTGAACAGTGTTTTATAATGGAGTTATAAAAAGCTTCGGTTCAGTTCCCTATGCATGCATAAATTATTTTTGTGTATATTGCATACATTCAAATATATCATGCATTATTTATGCATGCAAAGTAATGGATGCTTTTAGTAATTTGGAATTCTTATAAAAAAATTCATTAATAATCTTCTGCATTCAACTTAATGTAGACTACTTATTTTTTATCATAATTTTTTAATGTCCAACAATCCTTAAAACATTTATTATAATATCTGATCTTATCAGATTTAATTTATAATAAACTCATATAAAGATTATAAATAATGAATATGGAATGATCAATTTATGTATAATTTTGGAATGGAATTGAACTAGTAATAAGTTATTCACTTAAATATATGTAAATATTATTTTGTATTAAGGCTTCAACCTTGGTATTCTCTTTATTTATAGAAAAGATTGACCGACCTTTGAACTATTGAATAATAGTATGGGTGACAAAAAATATATTATATATAGCTATCTTATTGAAGATATATCTGTTATGTATGTGATAACTTGATAAGATAGGTAAAAGAATACTAACCTACCTTAGTAATATAATTATGTTTTGAATACAATAAAATAATTTTTGATGTGGCTCATTGGGTCAATGGCGTCAAAGATTAGACCTGTTTAAATTTTGTTAACCTTGAAACAATTTTGAAATATGATAATTTATAAATTAACAATACAAATTAATATTTCGTCATATGAATTTCATGAAGCGTTTTATTGTTACTAGCCAATGGATTGTGTCCGATTTAAAACTATTTGAATTAGTGACTATTGTAAAATCCGACTTTTCTATATATGTATTTTTTTTTATATTACAAGAGTGGAATTTTTCAAGGAACAATTACAAAATGAATTTTTTAATTTTGATTACTTTATTTTCCTATATATTGTGCGTTATTAAGAATTAACTCATACAAAATAATGTTTGATAATCGCAATATAATAAAGAATTCAGTTTTTTTTTTCATTTAATGTCATATTGACATTTTATTAAGATCTATAATCTATGTCATAGGTCATAGACAATATACCCCATAATTTGGAAAATAGAAATTTATCTATTTATGTACATATTATAATCAATACAGTTATTGTTTAATAATTAAAACAGTATAATTAGCGCTCCATCAATGCATTTATCTTATACAAATAATGCATTCTATTAATAAACTTTCTCGATATATACGAGTAATGGAAACTAAACCTAATTTAAGTATAGCTTGTGTTCATTTATTCTGTGTATACAAATGTTAGCTTCGGGTTAACATCACATATGTATAATATGAGATTTATTTAATATATTTATTCTTATATTAGGTTGTAAGTGACAACGCCGTGCGACAAGTGAAGGAAGAGGCCAGAATACAAGCGGCTGTTGGACACCACGTGTTCATTGCAGGAAGCGTGTCGCGTTGGCAGACTAAGAAAAGACTGTACATTGGTATGTAGTGTTGTATGTTTGTATGTCTGTTCCCTTACAATACCAATTTAACTTTAATTTTGTTTTGATGTTTTTTTTTGTACTGGATAACAAAGTGTCATTAAGTAATGATTATTTAATTTAATTCCATAGCTAAAATCTATATATATAATACAAACATAGGGATGTAATTTTGTTAGTAACTACACGCGTTATATTTTTGATCTAATAATACGTATATAATTGGTTCCGTTTACTCAGTTGTGTTGAAATTATAAGGAAAGATATTGTAATGTCACACGCGTGTCTAGTGACTGTCACTGTTGTGATGGATGATAAGTATCAATTACTTAATTAAGTTCGGAATTATTAAGTATTTCTTATTATAAAAAAATATTATCCATCAACTTCAGAGTTTTATTCACTTATTTAGACTTTGATTTACGAGTGAAGTAAGGAGTTATTTATATGTTTTATTAACGATTTCGTCGGGAATCGAACCTAAAATATATAATTTCTAAATTGTTTTAAATCATCTAATTATTCTATTGAATAGTATTACGTTATCAATTATACTTTTAGATACGAATTAATTGAAGTTGTATTAACACGGGTTTTTTTTGTTATTTTTTCGATTGTAAGCAACCAGTTCATACAATTTTAAATTCATGATATGACAAATACTTTCGTTATGTACTAGTTGTATATAACGCAAAGATTACATACGAAATACTTCATTGTGATAGCAGTAGCAATAAAACAATATTTATATAATACCAAGAATTAATGAAAATTTGTATAATTTACTATATGTATATATTTGCTTGACCTAATATGATTGTGCTCCTTATCTTGGCTAGACTTTTGTCTGAAACCTCTCAGTATCAACGTCTGAATGAATAGATTTAGAGTTCTTTGACCTTTGAGTGTATTTTGAAGTTGTTTCGTTCATTGACTTAAGATTTTTTATATTTGTTTTGTATCATATATGTCATTTACAATATAGTGATGTTTCAGATCGCTATATATCTGCATATATAATTATATTCATAGTACAAGTTTGCCACGTCATACTGCATACGACGCGTATTCAGTTTATCATTCATTAACGTACGTTAACACTTATATCCGAAGATTTATGAATGACTAACTGTTAACTCTCCGTATGTAGTGACGATGTAAATTTATACTAAGGCTACTTCTTACAATCCTATCAGCTACTATTACGCAACGACCCAAATATATATTTTTGTTTGTAAACATGTATTATTGTAACAGTTTCAGAATACATTCCCGGCGGTGAGCTGCTAGCTTTAATAGAAAAATACGGAAAGTTACCCGAGAATCTGGTCAAGATATTTCTGGCTGAAATTGCTATAGCTTTAGGTAAATGATTGCATTTAAATATAGCTTATATAAAATTAAAATAACCATATATTATATACTGTGTAACCATATATTATATACTTCTACAAAATATTAATACATATATCTTTTTTTATTTAAATATATTTCTTATATATAAAATTAAGTTACTTACAAAAAAGGTATTTTTAAACTACATATTTTAATAATTTTATACATGTGTTTGTAGATCCGGATATAAATATTTCATTTAGAAAGTATTGAATAGATTTTAATTAAACCTAACAGTAATATAGATTATGGTGAAGATAACGTATTGACTATGACGCCTTAAAATTTCTTAAATTTATTTTCGGTACATGTAGCGGTTGTACCTACTTTGTTTAACATTATCGCCGGTAGATAGCGCTGTCGTGTAGCTACCTAAGATTTATACCAAATTCTTATTCTAGGAACAAATTTATAATTTCTTTTTTAAAGCTACATCAAAGACAACTAAAATGAAATTGACGAACAAAATCTGTCTAAAATATGTTATTAAATATGATTTTTTTCCGTTTCCAGATTTCCTTCATAACGCCGGTATAATATACCGTGATCTCAAGCCAGAGAACATACTCTTAGACACAGACTACCACATACGACTGATAGACTTCGGTCTTTCTAAGTGGCTGTCTATAGGGTCCCGTACAACAACCATCTGCGGAACCCTGAAATACATGGGTAAGTTGTGTTCCACCCATCTTCAGTGTTGAGGGCTAATTGGGCCTAGGACTAAGGCTAGGGCTGGTGTTAACAGACAATATATAATATATGTGTATCACTCATATCTAGTGGACAAAAACAGTGGTTTTAGACCGGAAGTCAACAGAGTGACTGTTGGACTATGTCATTAGCGGTAGGCGCTGGTTGCCAGTGACTGGCAAAATGAACGCACGCAGCATAGCATTCGAAATGTCCATGGAGGGTAGGCAAGTGGACGAGGTGGTGGCTAGCATTTTCCACACGGTGCTATTCCATCGATCAAGTGGTAAATTCACATACACCAATGAGGAGAGTTACTCTATAAGAACCGTCAGCTATGTGGATGTGGACTGCGACTTCATAGACTTCACCTACGTCTGCTGTGAATCAGAAGCTTTAGGGAGGATCGTGAAACGTGACATATCAGATTTCTCTGAACGTCTCCGCGGTTCAGACGGCTCTTCACCACCACGAGGGTCGATTTCATTGGAGTTCTTCCAGAAGCGACGAGCTAGATGGCCGTTCCAGCCGGAATGCGTTCCTTGGGAGGTCTGGACGGTCTGCTGTGAACTGACCGAGGCTCGAAACGAACAAGACATGCACACTAAACACGAGGGCGTAGTAGAAATGCTGCAAGATAAGATAGTGTTTATAACTGAGATCATAAATCGTCATGAATACGTGCCTAAGATGCCGAGCCGGTCAGACGCTGACCTAATCTTTGACACGACTTACTCAGATATACAGCCTTATCTGTTCAAAATACACTACAACCTATCCGGAGCCCCGCCAACCTCTGTCGGTAATACAGTCCGTAAATTAATTCGCGACACTCTATCCTTGTGATGTATATTATATTACAGCGCCATCTATCTAAGTTTGGACGCGTACGGATACTTTTATACTGTCGGTTTGATCGTCGTCGGTATATGTGATATTATATTGAAGATGTTCTACGATGGATGATGTTATTAATGAATCGTGTCGATCGTTAGAAACAAAAGTGCAATTATTTTTGTTTTTGTGTTTTTTTGTAAATATATAATTATTTTTTATGATTCTATGTTATATATTTTCCAATTCTGTGTACTTATAGCACGAAGTAAATACATTATATTGTTTTTAATGTTTGACGAGTGTAATATAACTAGTGATGTCCCACGTATCGTTTTATTTTAATTTAATATTATTTTACATTTTACTGTGTTACTATAAGTTTCCTAGTTAACAATCTTCAACAACTTTATTCAGACCGTTCGTTGGAGGTATTAATGATAAGTTTGAATTCACTCGATATTTTTAGTTCTCGTTAACTATAAGACTTGTAGTACACATATTTTATTGTTTTATTTTAATGTTTGACCATAAATATAAATTAGTCAATAAATAACTCGCACTCTAGACTTAAAGTCGTATAAGTTATAATAAGTTTTTCACCGTCTCTGATTATATGAAAATAAATACATATAATGTTTCGTGACATTACTCTAATAATATTTTAATGATAATCGAACAAGTCGTAATTATGTCTTGTAAGATAATTTTGTGATATGACTTTGAATTAATATTTTTTTTTATATATATAATAATTACGTGTTGTATAATGTATATTAAATGTACAGTACTTGTAATATTTTGTTTCGTATTACGCGTAGTTTGTAGTTAATATATATATATATAGAAATTTATTTATTGCTAGAATTATTGTATTGTATGGTGCATGATCGTGTATGGGACTTGTAAATCGTTCTCATTTAATAGTTTAGATTATTGTAATTATAGAGTTAATATATTTAGAGTAGGCAAGAGAATAAAGCTACAAAATATATATATATATATATATATTTTGGAAGTTATTATTGTAGCTTAGAATGTTTTGATTTTTATTTCCTATTAAAAATGTCTGTGTGTGTAGTTCTTGCCTATTTTATGTATATTATTAATTATATGAATGTAGTGTCGTCTCGATGTAGAATTTAATTCATTTTGTAACAAATCTTCACTACATTTGTCTGTTGTATCGTTAGTATGGATTTTATACTTTATATGTTACGTTCAACTGATAACTATGTACGACAGCTTTGTCAGTTAAGTAAAAGTATAAAACTCGTACTAGGAGCCAAGTGAGTTTAATACGTGTTTATATCACCAATACTGGTAGTTTAGACGATAGATCGCCGGCGATGTATTGGATGGCTCGAAAAAACTTGATACTTCTAGTATTGCCGTTAAAAATACGTACACGTACTAAAGTCACATGCCCACAAAGTTTCGGTGAATCCATCCAACGTTCAACTTCTTAATTTACTTTCCTACCTCATTACGTGACTAGATCTAGATTATCGTCTCAATTGAAAACAAATATCTATATAAAAAAAAACTTCTTATTATTATATAATCACCAAAGATGAGGCTGTACATGGTGTTTAGAAAAAAAATATAAAAATAATAATATGTAATTAAACGAAATAAATTATTTTGCGATTCCCGTATATAAGAATTCGTCTAGTGATGAGACAATATATTTTATTCATATATATATTTTATGTGTATTTCGTCTGTGTGAACACCCTGTATGTAACGATGCACTCGCTATGGCCTTAATCAATATTAATGTGAACGGCTGTTTTAAACTATGGTGAGCATATTGTTATGTGATTTATGAGTTCAAAATTATAATTCTTTGTCTTGTGATAATTTATATATACATATATATATATATATATTTATATATGAATGTAAATAAATGATGAAGTATTAAATGTATTTCATTTAAAATAATAATTTACACACCTTAAACATGTGAGAGTAATATTTTTATAGTATAAATAAATTGTTTAATAGAATTTAATACCAAGAACTATTATGTTCTGATTCACCTAAATGATTTGGTTTGAGATTTGTGAAATACATATAACATAGTAAATTTCTGAAAGTTTTTTGTGAAACATTAAAAATATATAGATATATTTGTGTTAATAATATCAATCTTCGTGTGCTGTGCGTCGCTTCACACCATCAAGTAAATATATTTTAATTATATAATTATATATTTAATGTGTGAATGGATGAATGAATGAGGCGTGGAGCACAAGAAGTTGAACGAATGATTGTTTAATGAACAATTTTTTGTAAGGCTGCTTACACACTGTCATGATTAAAAAATATATTAAATTTGCATGGATTTTTTATTGGATTTGTGTGTGTAATCAGCCTTATATATGTTGTATATAGAAGTAATAGTATGATTTGTTGTTGCTAGCGCCTGAGCTGATGATGAAGGAGCCTTACAGTCATGCTGTCGACTGGTGGTCGCTTGGAGTACTCGCGTGTTATATGTTAACCGGAGAGGTATGTTACTTAAATATATATCTTATTAATACTACAATAAGTTTCATTATCTTTCAGTACTTCGTACTACTTCTACCTCGCAATTCCCAGCTATAGCTAGGGTCTGCCTTACATGTTGTATATAGTTTTGGCTATTTGTTTTTACGACCGGCCGCCCTCCTGACATCAACCCTCTTTGGGAATCAGCATTAATCAGTGGTGTCTAAATATTCTTATAAAGAACATATGACTCGGAAAAATCACATTGGTACTCGCCCCGGCCAGGATCGAACCCGCGCCCTCGTGTATGAGAGGCGGGCCTTTTAACTACTGGGCCATCACTGACTAGTCATTGTCCTTCAGTAGGACTAAATAATATGTAATAATTATTGCCGCTATCTAGTTTGGCGTGCGTAGTACGAAGTCTTTGTATTAAAAGATTTGTGATTTGATGGAAATATCAAATCTCAGGAGCTATATATTGAAATCGTAAAAATGATTTTGTATTTCATAGTCGATGTATTGTCGAAGACTTTTATATATATAGGCTGTTTGTATCACTATAAAACCTATAGGATTTGAGTGATACTGAAAAATGTAGCGAAATAAGAAAGTAACATCGTAATGAGTACCAGTAAACTATTAAAGTAATTTAAAAATTATTTAAGACAAGTTTCAATTTTTGAAATCATCTTTATCAAAAACGCAAGCTAAACCGTTAGTGCAGCTAGTAATATAAATATTACTTTAGTCTTACTATAAATATTCAGCTTGATGCTTTTGTCCAAGTATACAATAATCTTTGTAAAAAGTAACATTTTACAGTTCATTAAAGTTTTCACTCATAATTGTTGATTATATGTGTAAAACTCGTACTACGAATATGTGTACCTAATATAAAGTGTCAATGGACTAAACAAATGTTGTCACCACTGAACACTACTAACTGAACTAACAGCAAATAAACTTAGAAAGAACCCTGGTCCTCGTAGTAGAGAAGCCCAAGCGACTTCCAAAGCTACTTCTAAATTTCCTTCAGAATGCTCAGGCTAGCAATATCCCTCCATATAATTGTCACATTATTTAGGATTACTATGACATAAAGGCGACCTCCCTGCATAAAAAAACTTCAGGAGTATCTCAATATCACCTTTTATTTAAATACACAAATATCTATAATAAGTTTGTGTCACGTACAAATAATCAGACATTTTGATAGGACACTTTACAGTTTATTTGACGTAACCTTTGAAATTTTGAAACGCTCGAATAACCTTTTTTTTATTCAACCACTTGTTACGATCAGCTCCCTTGAATTCATTTTCAGATTAATATTTTATATATTTCAGAAATATAAAGCGCATATGTACTCTTTGTCATTTTTTACATTTTTTGAAAACAATGACACGTTCTCTTCTCATTAAAATGGAAATCTTGAAGTAAACTTTTTCTATTTAGGAAATAATCTTTAAAATCCAATAGGTAAGGAAGACGTACAAGTTATTGCAAATTTAATATCTTTGCCTTCCCTACGATAATACCGATACCTCCTAAGTATAATGAGTCAATTGACATATTCTAATTTTACAGGAGAGTGATTTGAAGGCAAATCGTTTATATTTTAATGATATCAAATTAATTAGAAATAAAGTAAATGTTTTTTTAATAAAAATTACAAGCACTTCCTTTGACATATAATGATGTTGCTGTTTTATGTTTTTAAATTACATTTTATCTAGATGACTGGGTATACGCCGACGGGGCTCAATAGTGAAATGGTATAACTACCAGTTATATTCATGTACGTTGTCCACTTCTTCATCCCTTGTTAGAATCATATCATCTATTCCTGTTTGATCATTTATTGTACCAATGGTATTTTTGAGTAAATTTAAAATTTTTCGTTAAACAACTGCATTTTAGCAATCTATGCTCATCATCGTATACTGAGCTACGATGTAGTTGTATAAACGCGTCCTCCCTCACGCCCCGCGTACACTGGTACGATGTTAGTTATATCAGTTTACTATGTATGATTTTTACTGATGTTGCAATTGATTTGGTATACGTGAAGTTATTTCGGTAATTATCGTTCCTTTTTAATTTTTTTTAACGCAAACGTTAAGATCACGACTTATCACGTAAGTTTATATAAAAATACCTAAATTTGTTAGTTGACTCAGTATACTTAGGAGGAGTCGATATTTTAGTTTTGAAAATGAGATGGAAATATCTTTTAATTCATATCTATAAACGAACGATTTCGGTTCCTTGTGGTAAACTCAAAATGTCTTCAGATATGTAAAATATGACTTACTTACATATATATATGTTTGATTGCAGTTATAGCTTTTATACATATAAAACAAAATAAAATATTGACAGTAATTTCTTGAAATGTAAGGTTGTCTGTGACTTTTATTATAAGAAATGGCAAAAGTAATGTAATAATTTCGGAACAAAACCTATACCTTTCTTTTTATTTACGGAGTTAATTAAATAAAGTTCGATGATTATTTTTTGGAACTCTCTTTAATATTTCTAAAGTAAGATTTTAATTTTTCTGACTGCAATTTTTGTCGCCTTTCAGTACAATTTTTAATACGATTGTACTGTGTAATTTACGTTAAATTTTGAGCGATCGTTTTTATATCTTTGAATTTATATAGTTTTCGTTTAGAAACTTGGGAAGTATAAATAATTCTAAAAATAACTATATATTTTGATTTCAATTTTAAGTAACTAAGTACGAATCATCTAAGCTTATTGAGTACTTTTAAAACTGTGTTAATCTGGGTTTATTAATTATTTATAACTTTCATGTTGTTAATCTGTTTCATTAACTAGTTTATATTTTATGTATTGATATGTAAATAAATATATGTAGCTGTTATTCTTTTAGTCATAATCTAAGCAGTTAATATGAACAAGAATGGCATTATTTTTCTTGTGTAATTGTCTAGTAATTAATTAGTTTCACAGTGTATATGGAAGCTTTATCTTAATTATATTAAATATTACACTCAAGGGTGTTAATTAAAAAACAATATTATTATAAAAAGTATTTATTATTACTTACAGTACCTTGAATTCGATAATTTACTTTGAAAATAATTACAACGCAGGTAATTTTTCGGTTCTACTATTTAAATAAGTCTCTAGAACTAGTGAATAGTCGGATATTTCCCCGGGAGATGGGGGATGCATCACAAACTTAGTACCAGGAGCGGATGGCGCGTGTCGAGGTATTCTGTCGACACACGTCTTCCGCCTAACTAAACTAGTATTAGTTATCTAGGATTTCGCCTGTTTCTCCTTCTCTCCGCTTTCTTCTGAGGATTCTGCGCTGTCATTCTTGTCCGAGCTCTCGTTGCTTTCGTCGGATTCCTTAGCTGGGGCATCGCCGAGAGCCTTTTCGTCGGATTTGACATCAGGTTTCACATCTACAACCGACTCAGCGGGCACAACCTGTTCTGGGCTTTTTGGAACTTCAACTGATTTGCCATCCTTGCTGACGTCACTGGATTCAACTGCCTCGATCGACTTTTGTTCCTTCTCCTCAGCGGACTTAACCTCTTCAGATTTTAAAGGTTCAACCGGCTTGTCTTCAACCTTGGCAACCTCAGCTACTGATTTAACCTCTTCTTTTGGTGCTTCTTCTGGTTTGGCTTCTTCAGCGTCACGAACTACGCGAAGTTCATCAGCTACGGCTGCTTTAGCCGCAGGAGCAGCCTCAGCTGGAGCAGCTGCTTCAGCTTCCTTATTTTCGGCTTTCACTTCAACGGGCTTTTCTTCCTCAGCATTGCTGCTTTTTGCGGCAGCTTCTTCAACAGCTGGTTTGCTTTCTTCGGGAATTGCGCTTTTAGGGGAAACGACAGGCTGAGATTCAGAAATAGGGTTAATAGCTGTGGGGTCCATAACATCATCAGCTACAGCAGCATCATTTTTAACTGCGCTTACAACATCAATACTGGGTTCAGCGATGTCAGATTTGGCGGCAGGTTCAGCAACCACCTCTTCTACTTTGGCTTCTTCAACTTTGGCGTCTGCAACTTCTGGCTTCACTTCTTCAGCAGGAGCTGATTTAACTTCTGGTTGGATTGGTTCTTCTGGTTTAGCATCTACTGCTGGTTTCTCTTCTGGTTTTGATTCTACCACTGGGTCTTCGACAGCTACTGCTTTAACCTCAGGAACATCTGGTTTTTTATCTTCTGAAACAACGTCAGCTTGTGGTTCAGCAATGACCTTTGGTACTTCCTCTACTGGTGCACTTTTAACTTCTGGTTCAGCTGGTTTTTCAGCGGCTTTTACTTCTGGGACAGACTCCGGTTTGTTTTCAATAGGGTTGGGCTGTGCTTCAACTGCAGGCTTTACTTCTTCAGCCTTGACCTCAGGTACTGCGGGGGACGCAGCGGGTGCCTCTTGTTCCGCAACAGGCATGGCCAAGCTCACAGCCGCAAAGGCCAAACAAAGTAATATGACCTTCATCCTGAAAATACAAAGTTCTTGATTAGCGGTTTCTTGTAATGATATCTCGTTCGAGATACTGTTTATGTGTTGACTGCACGTCTGCAAGTCGTGAGTGCGGTAAGGCCAATGTTACGCGTCGCCGCCCGGCTCCAACATTCACAGCAATTTTCCTATTAAGACTGAATCATCTAAGGGCCCGTTACGCTGGGGACGGCTGGCCATCCACTGGTTATATTGAATTGAAGTTGAGTTGATGTATAAGTAGGATGTAAACTATTTGTGAAAGTGGGCTATGGAATATTTTAGAAATTCACATTTAAATTTTATTAACCATTTCGTATGGTACTGTATCAAAGTGAATCATTACTCGATTATATTTTCGATGCGAAGTTGCGTAAAAAAAGACGTTGAAAAATTATAAATGACTTTTCATATCTCGTTAATAATTATAGTAGTTTTTATAACCGAGTCTATTTATAAACTGTCTGGTCGAGGAAAGTCATTAACTCGTATATCCCATGTCCCATCGGAATGCGGTCCGGCGCCGTCTATAAATAGAGCACCCATAAGCCTATAATAGTAATCTCGTACTGTAACTATTCTCGCATAAAAGATATTAAATTATAAATCGCAAGTTATTATCGGACGAAATTCTTAGAAGCTCATAAGAAGTGTTCATGATGGACGTTTCCTAGTGCGTGCGGTGGGCAGGATGCGAAATGCGCGTCAGTAATATGGATGATCCGGCGAGACGAACACACATCATCAGAATTTTAATGGACTCATTGAATAGAATCACCAACTAGAATGCAGAGATGCTATCGTGCGAATGATTTACCGCGTACACCACCAGCTTTAATAAGTTGCTCTTATCTATTTTGTATTGAGATTTTATTTGATCGAAATATTTATATATACAAAAAATATATATTTTTGTTCATTGAATACGTTGATATATATACATATTTTTGTATTATATAACATTACAGCGCAGTCGCAATCAATATATGAAATAAGAACCGGTTGTTCTTCGACTGCAGTCATTGTCCTTACCTTGATTATGTTACATGCTTATATTACTTCAGAAACCGCCAGCTAAAGCTTGAAATAAACATCATTAATACGTCTATTACAACTGGATTGATGATAGTAATTTTTTAACGTTATTACAGACGCTCCTTTAAGCTTGAACTTTTCGAAATATCACAAGTTAAACGACTAACGCATTTGTAATATAAAGATCGTGCTATCTGCGAGTGTAATTGATGAAGATCATGATTTATTTCTTGGTTATTTTCTGGAAGGATATCCCAGCAGTCTTCCCCCACGTACTCGCAATCTTCCAATTGAATCTCCAGCGCATGCTATTGCGCCAATCAAAAAATATAAAACCGTTATCATAATATATAAGTAGATATAGATTGTCTTTGATGTGAATACGGGGAAAGTTTATCTCTTCCTATCTATGATGGGAACAAATTAAAAGTATAATACTTTATTTATTGAATAATATTTTGAAATAATATCTTTCAGGCGTTCCTACTTTCGTAATGTAATGCCAGAGGCGCGTTACAATTCAAATTAACTAAACTTTCTACTTAAACTAGGTGCAACCTGATTTTGTAGGCCTTGTGAATTGTATCGAACTTTAGTTGCGACATTATGTTATGAATAAAGTTTATGAAACTGACTTTTTGTTTGTTATGAAACGTGAACTTGAATCACGTGTGACCTCATAATATTATTATGTGTAAATATTTAAGATGTCATCAGTATTTGTAATCATCACCAATTAATATTTCGTTGGGAAACAAAAAAAAAGTATCAATTAAATATTATTTTTATAAAGATTTTATCGTTATTATCACGTTTCATACTTTTTTGTTTGATGATCCAATTAAAAATAATGCTACGTAAATTGCAACCAAATTGAATGCTTAAAACATTAATTAAGAATTTACCAAAATGTATCCATTTTAACCTGGCTTTACGTTCTTTTAAAACAACAAGCTTTAATGTTTAAACAAGACTGTATTGCAGTATGTTGTGTTTGGATAAAATATAACCAAACAGGTTCTATTAACTTGGAGTACATCCACAGCATTCTTCGGAACTTCGGGTTTAAATCAGTTGCATCGTTAGTTGTTTAATACTTTGTACAAATTGTTATTAACATTCACTCGATTCAAATTTTTAACATGTGAGGCACGACCGCCTGGATCTGACCCAGACGGTTTTTTTTTTTGTTCTCCTTTACACAAAAGATACTTGCCGGTCCAATTCATTCTGCCAATACTACTTTCTACGAAAATATCAATCGATATATAACTGCTTGGTGGATTTCATTTAGACCAGGTGACATCGCCTGAATAATTTAATGCAGAGATTACGATTTTTAAAGCTGGTTTTAATACTTTTTTTAACGAGCTCATCTTAAAGCAGCTGGCTTGTTACTAATTAGTATGCCCATAAAAGGTGAGCTTAATTTCTGTATTCCCGGTAATGTATTGAGTGCAGAGCACGAGGTGCGTTGTCACATTTTGAAACCCGTTATTCTAGTGATTGTGCAACGTTCGACCCACGGTTCATTGTCGACGCATTGGCTCGATCGATCCTATTATCTTGTTGGAATAAATGAGACCTTCAATGGAACTGCAGCCCGTCATTCCATGGAAAATCATCACATTGTGTTTAGTTGTGTGGAAACTAAAGATGAACTATTTTGAATCAAATTTTCGACTTTTGACTTCATACTAGGTTCATATTAAATATACATTTACATAGGCTGTAAGTACGGAACAAACTGATGTTATGAAATTGATACGCCCAAATGAAACTTTAATAGCAGCACTCGATTTTGTTCCAAGCTTACACAATGATTACACTGACATTTATTGTAACTGCAAATTATTACGACAAGCTATAAAGATTCAGTTGAACAGCATAAAAAAGATCCAGTATGTAAAAAAAATATAATAGAACATTTTTAGACTGTGTAAATCAAGGTGCGCCCTAGTCGTATTGAAATGTACTCGATTAACTTGAAGCTATTCACTTGTTCGGGCTGTATTAACTCGGCGAAGGGCGAGCCGTACCTACAATATTCGCATTGCGTTTCGTAAAGTCATTGTATTTCCTCATTATAAATTTTATATGCTTATTATATGTCATTGTTGTTATGTGGCGTTTGATTGCCTTTACTGCAAAAAAATAATTGATTGACGCCAAGGATTGTAATTTTATTACTGAGAAGCTATAGTGATAGTTTGTATTTTTTTGTTAATTATTATCTTTGTAATGAGTTTGTAACTTTACGATGATAGAGGCTTTGTTTTAAATGTATGACCTTGTCTGTCCGAAAATATTTCCATACATTGTAAGTAATAGTTAAACTTCAAAATAACCAAGATCTATGAAATCATTGTTGGTTAATTGATGCGGAAAGTCTCCTTGAAATGGTTCTTTTATCTCATAGTCCGTTGACATTCACGGTCGCGTTAAACGAAATATATTATAAAACAATTTTCATAAAATTATCTAAATCCATACATTGGTTTTTGTATTATTCCCAAAGAGGGTTGATGTCAGGCAGGCGGCCGGTAAAAACAATTAGCCAAAACTATTCACAACATATAAGTCAGACCCTGGCTAAAGCTGGGAAATTGTCAGAAAGAAGTGTAATAATCAAAGATTTGTTTGAATTTAAAATTATTGCAAAACATTTCAATACTAATAAATCGAATTATTTTCCATTGTATATATTTATCGACTCTGTATTATCGAACGTAATGTACAATTCTAAATCACAATGAACTAAATGATGACAACTTCAATATCCGATCTTCTGTGGCATGTCGGAAATGTACTGCGCAAATTAAGATTTAACATTATGACGTCATATTACATATATTATTTCTATATATTGCGTATTTTATACGTGATGTGAATTATTTTATAATGTATAAATTACTTTGTTATTAAATCCATTCGATTCTGAATTAAAAGCCTATGTTTATATTACTTGAATATCTATGAGACCTTGCCAAGCTTTTATAGTACATTTCAAAACGTCTAAAACGAACGTTCCTTTTGTATTCTTAGTACGTGTTTTGATAGTATTGCTAAATACTGTCAGTTTCACAGTTTTTTAATAATATTTTTTTATATATTCTTCAATTTTGTATAGAAAAACGTTCGAAATAGAAGTTATTACTGCTAAGTATCGATACAAGCTTGTAATGCTGTAATATTTTTATCTCAGTTTTGATTTCTGCACAGGCCGATTCGCACTTGCAGTGTAACAAATTCGTTTGTTAATTATTTTTAAATCAATTACCACTATATAAAAATTATTAATACTAATGATTTGTTTTTTTTTTATTTTAATTATAATGGCAATTTAGTTTTTATTTCGGGAAAACAAGCAATTAATACCAACCAATAAAAAATGCACTAAAAGATTTAGTTTAGAAAATATATAAGTATGAAATATCGTATAATTTATAATTAAATAACTAATATATAATTTTAGGGTTAAGGTCCTAAGATTTCGATAGTTCGTATTTGATGATTGTTGCTATAAATCCATTTTATTTTTTATTAATTTTGTTCATATTAAATAATATTCCCATACTAATACATAATTAAGAGTATATACGATTTTTGTTATAGTATTCTATACATCTTATTCTAGAAAACTATAGAATTATCTAAATATAAACCTTATAAAACCTATCCTTGAGAGGGAAGTCGTAGAAGTGTTTTGTTAGATTTCCTTGCGTAGGCGTCCTCGTGACTTACAAGTTAAACATCATAGATTATTACAGATAGTAATAATATTTGTATGTATTTTTATTATTAAAACATAAATTATAGAGATGCTTTATTTATTTAATATATAAAACCATGAGGCCACATTAAATTCTATTTTAAATAGAGAAAATTTCATCAATAAATGATTTTGCTTTCGTAAAACAATAGGTATGTGTTGATATAAATTTTACATATTTCGATTGACT